CTATTCATGTTTGAGCCACTCTCATTTGATTTTCCTATGTCCAATCGTGAAAACGTAAATTTTGAAATCTTGAAGGCAGAACCACTGATCTTAATCGAGAGTTTTCTTAAGTGATCCCGGTCATTTGAGATGTAATTAACTATAGGGGTTTGCCTCTATAGAGAACTTGGAACCCAGGTAAAATAAATTCTATATAATTCTTATATTAGGTAGGGGAACTTGTTGGCCTCATATAAAATATTTCGCAGACCAAACGAATGTCACAAATTCTTTAGTTTAGGTGATTGAGCTTATTACAAGTGATATGTTTGTTCTTCGGGATAAGTGTATTACTTGTGGTATCGTGTTTAGTCATCTAACTATCCAAAATGTGAAACTTGGCTGGTCTTATCTATTTCAAAATTAAAATATTACTTTCAAAAAATCAAAAATTAGATATTTATATTAAAACTATTTTCATATCTACAAAATTATCTCTTCTTTTCCAAACCATAAAATTAAAACGACCGGCAATGAGACAGTCTTTTTTAGTTTTTAAGCCTATTTTGCCAAATAATTAATCCAAAATCTGCTTATTTTATTCTAAAAATTAATATGAGCACGTTTATTGGCTCCGAACAAGGGTTCCAAGACAGTTTGGAAAGATCAAATGATGGGGTAGAATGTTAGTAGGATAGTTGGCGGAGGAGGGATGAGTGATGGCATCTGAAATTTGGTGCATTTAACTGCTTGACAGCCGCTTAATAACAAAAAGCTGTTGATATTTTGTGAAACCGACAGCATAGGAGATTGTCGAACATCCGAGATAGTTTACCACCTCGATCCAATTAGGCTACAAATGCGCTACCTGAGGAAGATCTAAGGATACATTACTCGGATAAAAATAAACTAGAGGAAACATTCTCTATTGCATAAACCAAAAGCCAAAAATCCCCAAAATCAGGCTACAAAAAATATATAATTAGTTCTCAAAATAGTAGTGATGCTATTTCTAATAATATAAAATTGGGGCCCATAAGGATTGGATCAGCCAAAATTTTGAAATTTTTCTTCTACTGTAGCTGATGCGATTTTGCCTCTCACTTTCGTGAAAGGTGGGATTCTGAATCTTCTGAGACGCTCTCACATCATTCTCCACAGAGATCTCATCTTCATCTCTAGAAGAATTTAAAACCATATAGTACGGCGATAAGTCAGTAACATTGAAAGTGGCATACATATTATAAGTATTTGCTAGATCATTCTTATAAGCAAATTATTAATCTTCTTGTTGACTTTGATTGAACGTTTGATCTCATCTTGAGCTTTCTAAATAAACATGCAAAAAATAGCCCATTCAATCTAATCCATGCCAACTTGCCTTCCTTGAAGACCTGCTTATGCAACTTCTAGTACTCAACTGGCTGCATCTAGTAGGCAGGTTGGTTTGGAAGCGTAAAGTCTATGTTATGCTAGATCTCCCTCGGAGGTGGCAACCTAAGAGGTAAACTATTGATCAAAATATTCTGAAATTCTCTTAGTAGAGGTTACCCTATGTCTTGTATATACTTCTCTTACTCACTACCTTCTAATACCACCACTAGTGCTCCTCTCAAGCCCTGTAGAAAGATATTCATGACACCTCATACTCTCAAGGTAAGAGCACGATGTGCTTCCTATCCTTGGCAGAAGAATATGTATTCTTGTAGCCATCATAATGTGCGCAACTGTTGTACTGCCAACGACAATCTAATAAGATATGACAACCATTCATAAGTATTACGTCACATCACACCTTCTCCTAAAACTTGTTCTCAATTGAGAACTCCGCGCGACATCTTCTATCAATTGTGATTTTATTCATTCTTTTCAACCAAGATGGAGAGTAAGGCTGGATGCTTTTCTGTATGGCTAGGTTAAATTTGTTGACCATTCCGGTAGATGCCATGTCCCCGCAAATGTCTGCTTCTATGATAGGTTTGCACACTTTTTTTCACACTACAACAAAAGATGGTTTGAAGCCATTGTTGCTCTCTCGTGGGTTCACTCTAATGGATCCATCAAGCCACTAACATCTCTCCTTCGTCGCCACTAACATCTCTCCTTCGTCGGTTGGAAGCTTTTGTTTTTTTTTTTTTTTCCTCTTCACCTTCTTCTTTGTCACTGTTAATTTCTTCCAATATTCTATGTTTAGTGAAAGATCACCTTTCTATGCAGACAATCAGACATAATGTGTCAATAACTATGACATTTGAAGCATTTTGGGGCCGGAATAAACTTGGGAGTGCTGATGGCACCCAAATTTTCTTCACCCTTTGATGATTTCTCCTCGTAAGGGGACGGCTTGGGTGCTATAATGGGCGCACTTTTACTGTCTAATTCTGAGGTCTTGCTCTGTCTTTAAGGTGTAGTGGTTCCTAGTGAGAGCATGTTGAAGCAAGTTTTTCTCCTATCAATGACCGTAATGTTTTATAGCTGGAGTAGACTGTTTAGAAATTCAGGGCAATCAAAAACTCCACTAAAAAAAGCACATGAGCAACTTTGGGATTGTTAGTCTGCCATCGATTTTGATTGTACCTGGTAGTGTGTAGGATGAAGTTCAGAGAAAAAAGTTACAGCTAGAAAATTATCATTCCTTTTTTTTGAATTATCAGATATATTATGAAAGTTTGATAATGAAGAAGTTTATTATACTTGCCAGTGTTTTTGATTGCAGGATCATTTTAATGTAGAAAAAATATGTCAGAGTAAAGAGTTTAGCTCTTAAGTACATTGTTTTCCTGAAACTAAGCGAATCAACAAGAGTCACATATTGCTTTAGTTGTTTCTTAAAACATTACAGTGGAGACAATGGAAGATCTCAACCTGTTAAGCATCTAGATTAGAACAATTTAATCAAAGGCTTGTCATTTATAGAACTCGATAGTGTTATTGTGAGCTATAGAAGCATCTTGATGAATGTATTTTCGTGGAAACCAACAAGAAAATAAAAATAAACTTATTCCATAGAAGATGATAATATTAAACGTGATTGTTGTATTGATAATGGAAGAGGATTTTAACATCAAAATAGATAGCTTTATTTGTAAGTTCACATTGCAACTAGGAGCAGCGAGAGGACTTGGGGGCTGGATATTGAAGGAACTAATATTTTTGAAGTAGTAGTGGCCATATGATATTCTAAGGACGCGCTTTGCAAAGTAACATTGCAGTTGGCCTTGTATGCATACACGAGCATTTCAAAGCGAAGCCCTGAGTAGGCACAATGGAATGGGATGACGCGGGGCTTAGAGGAATTCGGAGCTCCGAGGATAGGCAGAACCAGCCGATCAGCTCAATCCTTGGAGTATTCTGGTTCAGAAGGAGGCTGGACCAGCTCGCCTGCCGCTCCTAAGGGCAGAAAGTATCGCTAATATTCGGCTTTCCTTGTTTTTCCACTTCTTCCTCCTTCCTTTCTTGGTTGCCGCCCAGGGGGGGGGGGGGGGGGGGGGGGGGGGCTTAGGGGATTTTCCCTTTCTATTTTATCTTATTAGTATGTGCTGAATTAGGGTTATATCAAATGTGAGTTATTTCATATTTCTGCATAAGTCTTTATTTTCCCTTGTGAGGATTGTATTTGATGACAGGTGGTGCTTCAATGGTATTCTACTCCGAGGTGGTGTTATATTTTGTATTCTCTCCTATTTTTCTCACTACCACTTCCTCTTCACCTCCTTTAGTCGTCAGCCACCTCTTCTCATCCTTGTTGCCCATGCAAAATATTAGCTTAAATGCAACTTATTAGAATTTATTATTTTGAAAAGAAATAACACCCATATCTCCTAAATTTAGGAAATAAATGACACTCATATCTTCATGATTACAAAAATAAAATCAAATATACTAAATATATAAACTCTTATAACTAGCTGGAAATAAAAGGAAATACCTAAATAAGAAATATAATGAAATAAATAAAATTCTAATATAACTTCTATCAGTTGGCTCAGAATGTTTGATAAGATTATTGCTAAATTAATATGCAGTCTTTCAAATGGATATAAAAGTGTATTTGATAGTTTTGAATAATATATAGGTAAAATTAGAATTTTAGTTGGGTTTCTATTGATGAATTTTGATCCAAATGTATGATTTTGATTTGACAGCGCCATAGATGGTGGTAAATGAAAAAATTATAATTAAGAGGATCCATATTATAGGAAACTTGAATGGAACCTTTAAAAAAACTTAAATCCCATTTATTTTGGTAAACGGTTAGAAATGGGCGAGTAAATAACAATAAATTCATCATCCTAGGTAACAGTATTCCAATGCTGCCTAATTTATTAGTTTATTTGAAGATAAAGACGGTATTGTTAATGATTATGATAATATGTTTATAATTTCTCTCCACATTAATTTCCATTGAAAGCATTTCACAATTATTTTTAAAATGTGTATTCTTCTGTGACGTGCATCATAACCACTGTGCAGTTTTATTTTACTTTTAGATTTTTTTGAAAATTTTAGATTTTGGCGATAGTTAAATTATTATTTGGAGCAAATTGTATGCATTTTTTGGTTTTATAGTAAAGAGACAAATCTTCGCATAAACTAGTTGTTTTACCCTGAAACTCGATTGTTTGCTTATTTTGAGTATTCATGTCATGCGACTTGTGCTATTATATTCTTGATCGTAAGTCTTTTTTCATTGCTGGTTCCACAAGCCATGAGCTCTAGATCTTAGGTCAAATGGCTAGAGTTTGAACATGACAAAGTTGCAAAAATCATGGAGTTATCATAACATCTTTTTAAGGCTTTTCATCATTATGTGACCTTTAATTTACTTGTTAGATCCACAATGATCATGTTAACTATTCATGTATGGATTTAATCTTGTTGTTTTTAGATAATTTTGAGGCTTAAAATTCTCTTATCCTTGCTTCTTTTTGTTTTATATGGTTTAACGGAGTTCATGCAGCATATTTTACCTGTAATCGTTTATTAATTAATCTTTTTTTTTATAAAAACTGTTGGACCAGAGAAACAAACAAGGCGTTCTGTGGTTTTCTTGATCAATCAAAATATAAAAGCTATATGAAGATATTTCAGGAGACGTCTCCTTACAAAAGCGGTCTCAGCAAGGATGAAGCTTCCATCATTGCCAGCAATGATCTCTGTGTAAGAACTATTAATGACCTGGCTAATTTTTTTAGTGCTAATGCTGGCATGCGTACATTATTATTGTTCTCTAGCACTTTATTGTCCAGGGCAATGCATGTTGTTCCCTTTTTTCAATTTAATGTTTAAGTTCATTTAGCTAAGGTAAATAGAAAAAATAAGTAGATGGTTTCACCTATGTGGCTAAAACATACATTTGTGTCCAATTGTGAAAGAATGCATCCTATAGAGGGAATGTTTCTCTCTTGCCATTTCGGAGGCACTTTTCATATGTCTAGACTGCTTATTGTTTATTGGCCATGTATACTATTATAGGATGTTAAAGAGAGAATTATTTCCTTGGATGTTGAATCGCATGAGGGATGGGAGGAAGCGATGGGGGTAAAGGGAAAGGATTTTAAGAACAAAATCACATGTAGATTAGACATATATTATTCTTTTCGTGGAAGTTGGTTAGCGTGAGGAAGGATGGAGCTACCAGCAGTTGAAACATTTCAGTAAAGTTTGTGGCGCTGTAATAAACAAGAACAAACTCAAATAGTTGAAACAGTAAGCCTAGCTATTGATTCCCATACAATCATCTCAGGCGCATCTTCTTCATTGGAATCAACATCATCATTTTGTTGTTTTTGCAGTTAGAAGTCCGAGAAGCTAATTGGAAACATTGAATAGAGAACCTGGCTGATTCTCCAACTACCTTCGATCTTGATTTAAATGTTTTCCCTTACTTAAGGACACTCTGAAATAGCCTCATTCCAAGGCCTAATGCAAGAACCGGGAGCTGTTCTGGATGCTAGAAGGCAGTAGGAATCCAATTCACTCGTTTTTTTTTGCTATGAAGGTAGCGGGACGGCAAAATTTAACTCAAAGCCCTAACACAAAGTGATATCAGAACTTCCAGTTGGTGGCCTTTTTCCCTATCTCGAGCAAGATGAGTGTTCGGAGAGAATGACATAGTGTTAGGAGGGGTCTTTTCATAATTATTTAGCAGATATCTTTTCTTTAGTATTTCTTCTCTAGTAATTTAAGGGTTTAAAATTTATTTGGGTTAGCTTGCCTATAAATAGACTTTTCTTTGGAGGGAATAGGGGATTCTTTTTGGATAATTATTTCAGGTATTCTTGAGCTGTTGGAAGGATTCCCTGTTTCGGGTGTATTCCATAAGTTTGGAGAGGAGAGAAGGGGACGGGATCGCAGTGAAGTCTGTGATTTCACCAAAATCGATCTACCAAACTTCCATCTCTCCTTCATAGCATTCTTGAACCCCTTTTCTGCATTTCTTGTGGCTGTCTACCCAAATTTTGGCTGCATGAAATCCAAAACAGCAGCAAAACACATTATTTCAGGAGAGGTGAGAGAGCAGGAGGGCATAATGGGGTCCAAGACCATGCCAATCTTGGTTTGCCTTGATCATTAGCCTTTCTTTTGTGCAACCAATGCGTCCATCCACTTTTTTCCATTGCACCGTCCAGTTACCTTCAAAGCAAAGAAAACAAGCGAATTGGATTCCTACTGCCTTCTAGCATCCAGAACAATTCCCGGTTCTTGCATTAGGCCTTGGAAGGAGGCTATTTTCAGAGTGTCTTGAAGTATGTGAAAACATATAAATCAAGATTGAGGGTAGTTGGAGAGATCAGCCAGGTTCTCTGTCAAACATTTTCAGTTAGCTTCTCAGTCTTCTACCTGCAAATACTTAGTCCCCAAAAAGGAAGAATAGCAAAAGGATGATGTTGATTCCGACGAAGAATATTCGCCTGAGGTAACTGTACGGGAATCAATAGGCTTGCTTACTAGTTTGACTATTTGAGTTTGTTATTGTTTTTTATCGGTGTCAGTGTGTGCATGCTGACCTCAACATTGTTAATGAGATTTTACATAGGCGCTCAAATTTTAAACAAGGTGACTCTTTGTAACATCCAATTTTGGCAATTCATACATAAATAAGGTGGCATATATGTAAAAATTAAAGATTAGGTATTAGATATGTAAATTACTAGGTTCGGAGTTTTATGTTTGTAAATCTTCCTATTTATAATTCTTTCTTGTACTGTATACAGGGTTCCAGTGATACTCCGCCGCAAACTCAGGATCCTGTTGCTTGTTTTGAAAACCATAGTGGCGATAAGTTGAGTACTACTTCAGAGACCTCTGTGGAAGATATTGGAATTGCAACTGGTAACTGGGGCTGTGGTGCTTTTGGTGGAGATCCACAGATTAAGAGTGTAGTTCAGTGGCTTGCTGCATCTCAGGTTGTGTTACATTTGTATGGATTTATCTTCTAAAATTATCATTATTTTATTTTTGGCTTTAATGTATGGGATCTGTATTAGATTTGGTTAAGTTTACTATAAAGGGGCATTTACATGCATACCACCCGATTTCTATGAATTTACATATCTAACACAAAAGCTTTTCTTTTTACATTTATACCACCCAAATCATTCATATGAAATGGAAAAAACTGCCATTTTAACTTTCAAAGAGTCAAATTCATGCATAAATAAGGTGCTATATATGTAAAGATTGAAGGTTGGCTGTTAGATTTGTAAATACATGAGTGAGTGGTATGTATGTAATTCTTTCTATAAATTGTTAATCATGGGAATTTTTTCTGAGTTTTGTTATTATTGTATGATTGTTGGTAAACTGATTCTATGAAGCCATCTTATTCTGGGTGTGCTTCAGTTTTCATCCGCATATGACATCTAGGACAACAAAATGATGGGCATGAGCCATATAAATTTTTTAACTTGCCTCATTCAGCATTTTGTTTTTTGTCATCATCATCGGCGCCATTAATAGTTTTTTTCTTGCTTTGTTTGATCCCTGGGTAATTCTTTCAAATAATTAAATTAATACTGCAGGCATTGAGACCATTCATGCATTACTATACCTTCGGAACAACAGAACTGCGGAAATTGGATGAGGTATATTCTTCAGCTATTAGTAATTTTCTTCCTGCTTTGATGTTTTATAATTAACGTAAATGCATGGTAGTCTTTCTGCAATTTGGAAGTCTTAATTTAATGGTTCATTTATATACACACCACCCAAATCCTATATATTTACATATCTACCACATAAACTTTACTTTTTACAAACTTTACTTTCTACATTTATACCACCAAAATAGTTCATATCACATAAAAGTTCCACTAATTTAAAAGTAAAAAGTAAAACACCTCTTTCATGCACAGATAAAGTGGTATGTATGTAACTCTTAAATATTGGCTTTTGAGATTTATGCCACCCAAATCTTGAATTCATCTTTTCATGCATAAGCAAGGGGTTATGCATGTAAAAATTGAAGTTTAGTTGTTAGATATGTAAATACATAAGAATTGAGTGATATGTATGTAAATCTTCCTATAATTTGGCATCGCATTTTTCCAGGTATCTCACTGGATCTTATCTCAAGGCTGGACAGTAGGAGATCTATGGAGCATATTGATTGAATACTCCACACAAAGATTAAACAGAGAAACCACCATTGCTTTCTTCAGCTGGCTTTTACCAGATGATGCGGCTACAATTAACAATAATGCTCATTACATGTCCGAATAATTCAGTATTGGTACTGCCTGCCTTTCATCAACCATTTTTATTCCAGGTTTCAAATTACTCTATATAATTTTATATTTGTAAATCTATTTGGAACTGTCTTTGTTCTTTTTCTTTCTTTTATTTTTGAAGGAGTCACCAGTTTGTCTATGTATAATCGTCATATTATTCTCGGATGAAATGAATGCTCCGAAGAGGAGAGGAACCGAAAGGAGGGATATACGATAGACAATAGACAGATGAGAGAAATAACATGGAGAACTTTCGTAAGTGAACTTCGCATGGATAACCTCAAAGCGTACGTCCGAAACGAGATTGGATCAAAAATACGGTGGAGACATATCTGTGAATAGGACCTTATGAAAGCAACCCACAACCAGAAATTCAAGTTTAAATATTTTTTCTATGGTCAAGAGCAGCTCCCAAAGGAACTTATTCTCTTGATTAATTGCATCTTGGCGGATATGGAAGAAAACTCTCGATGAAAAAGGTCTTGCTTACATAATTTAATGAAATATGGTTATTTGGGACATCAATGGATTTAAATCATCTCAAGGGAAAATCTTGATACTTTCGATATTTATATCGGGACATAGGGCAGAGGGTGAATCACTGTAACCACTACGAACGGTGACGCTTAGGCATGCGGGGTCCACAAGACTATATCAACGATTTGTCAAAGGAATCGACAGAACTCGAAAGAGGTGTCAATAAGAAAAGATTCCCTAAAAAAGGTAGAGGTAGCCATGTCAGAATATCATTTATCCATCATCCCAAGCTAACTTTAAGTCTACTTGATTGTGAAAGTAGTCGACTCAACACAACTGACGCTCCTTATCAGTAATTTGTGAATTGCGTCATCCAAGAAAGTCTTAATAGCCCTAAAGTCAAAGGAAGTAAATTCCAGTTCCTATGACCCTAAATAAATAAGAGCTCAAAGAGGTGGGGCTTGTGCTCGCCAAGAAAAATAGTAGAGTTGTCGTTGAAAACAAGATAAAAGAAGGTTCAGCTATAAAGTTGGAAATAATCCGCACAAAGAACTTATATCACGTCTGGGTTGGGGATGCCTCTAACGCCCTAATCGTCCTAGGCAGCCTCCTAGGTAAAAAGTTATGCTTGGTCAGGTCAAGTATGAAGAAGTGTGGGGATTTCTCCTCAGGTATATGCATATGATGCAGTTGTCTACCACAATTCTCTGTCATGAAAACCCTATTAATTATGATGATGTGTATAGTCATGCATGCAACTCATTTAAAATCCGGCTCGAACGCCATGCAGAAAATAAAGTGTGGTTTTTGAAAATCCAGAATGTTTTAATCCTAAATTTTGATTAATTATAATCTTTTGTTATTATGAATTTGTAGAAAGTTAAAAATTTTAGGGTTCTTAATGAGTCTAGATTATTTTATGTAACGGATATCTCAGACAAGCAGCAATCTAATAAGAAAGTATGAAAGCAAAGCAGTCACGAAATAGAAAAAGGGCAAGTCAATCAAAATAATAAGAACAAGTTGGTGTTGTTGGGTTGAAACATATCCCAGGAAAGCAGTAAAAACGGTCGGACTCTGCATATATATTTTCGGTCCTAATTTTATACAAGAGTATAAATTCAGAACTAAGATATGGGACATGAGTTGTTGCTTCTAGTCCCTATCATGTGGTTTGACGAGTCATCAGCCTCAAAACTTGTGCTCGTATCTTATTTCTGATATAAACTAGATCTTAGAACTCTATTAAATGCATGATAAAAGAAAAATATAGGACTCAGCCTGCAAAAAATGTTAGCATGGGTTATCTCATGCAAGACATATGAGAAATGTCTAGCAGGGAGAGCTTATAGCAGAACTGGCAGAGAATTATAGCTAGGCATTAAAAATGCTATCTAACATCCTAGCCCTAGTTTAGCACACTATCTAACAAAAAATGTCTTAATCAGCATCTAAATGCTCAGGGTAAATTTTTCGGGTATGTATGACTTTAACGTGGTCGTCACACATACCCCATATTTAAGATTCAAGGGATCTAAAGAGTGTCACATATGATGGATTTTGAAAAAGTTTGGTCTCACATATGGTCTAATTCGTTATTTGCATAGTTTTGAAAAGTATGATGGATATCATAAGTAGAAAAATAATAGTTTTTTTTTAATAGGCTCATTAAATGCAAACCCTTAAAAATGCAAGTTGACACAAGTTAGTTCTCTTGGATTCCTTAGCACACTGACACTTATGTGATTCAGATGCAATAACTTGCATTGTTCAACGGGATTTACCCAACAAACAATGTTTGTTAATGCATTGTGACAAACACGAGGTCACTCACCTAACGAGTCTAGCTCGCTATCAAAATACACACGGCAATGCACATGCAAATGACAAAATTGTGAGCACACATTGTGCACTCAAAGGGTTTGGTGGCTCTGAGGCGTGTCTCGAATTGAGCACACATGTATTAAAGTGATACATTTCTCGCTAGAGAATCACATATTGAGTAGGCTTGATATGCAAGCAATCCCCGAAGAAGACACAAGTGTCATGGTAAGTGTGCGAGAAATAGTGACTCCAGAAAGACACATGATTGTTGTGAACACACAAAATGTTATGTGAGCTAAACATGCAATAGTACACAAATGAAAGTGTGAACACATGCAACATGCAAGTACCAGTTTATTAGGCCTTAGTAGCTAATTGAACCAAAGTGGTTTGGTTTTGTGACTGAACTTGGTTGGTTGGTCGAACCAAAAGATTGATTTTGTGATCGGGCCTTGGGAGCCGATCAAACCAAAGAATGTGGTTTTATGATCAGGTCTTTGTGGTCAGTCAAAGCAAAGTGATCAGTTGATTGGGTCGGGGCGACCAATCAAACTGAGGTGGGTGCATATGCAAAGGTGGCATGCAGGCAATGTGCAAAAACATGCAAGAGACATGACATGAAAGTGAAATTAGTCAATTGACCCTTTAGGTTGATCGAGGCGGTCAACTGGGTGCCAAACCAAGAGAGATTGGTCGGGTCAGGGCGACCAACTGGATCAAAGTGATTGATTGGTCGGGTCGGGGCGGTCATTTGGATTGAAGTGGTCGGTCAATCGAGTCGAGGCAGTCAGTTGTGCCTACTTGAACGGTTGATTGGACCTTAGTGACCAATTGAACCATAGTGGTTGGTCGACCGGGTCGGGGCCACTAGTTGGACATAAGTGGTTGGTGGGCCAGGCTAGGGCAGCCGGTTGGACCTAGGTGGTCGGTTGACCTGGCCGGGACGGCCCGCCAGATCTAAATGACACATGCAAAATGCGGTCAAACATACAAGCATATGCAAACATCCATGCTAAATTGCGAACTTTACTTATTCTAACAATCTCACAGGAAAACCCTAAAGGTAATTGACGGGAGTAAGCGGGTGTTGCTACAAAGCAACGAGCGACTGCTTCTATTTGCCCAGTGATAAAGATTTTGGAAAATCCTTTACGGCGTATGGAACGTCAAAACCTTTAGACTTTCTTTTCTCTACGCCTAAACAGTGAAATTAGCTCTTCTCGTCATGAGGGCGAAATCGTCGGAGCAAACATGGGATTGAACGATCCCTCGTTTTGGATTTAGATCTAGAAAAAAAATGATAGGTTCACTCGTTGGATTTGCAAGGGAAAGTCCACGAAAAGCTACTAATCCTACATTGGCCTTCTTCTAGGCACAACAAAACCCTATCTAATGACTCTAACATCCATACCTAGGGGCTCTAAAGAAAGAAATCACAAGGAATCAAAAAGTTTCACCTTCATGGCCATTGCTCGTAATGTTCTCTTTGGTTGTCAGAGCTCAGGCGCAGTTTGGGTGAAGCTCCGGTGAGGTTTTGCCCTGCCTCTTCTCCAAAGAATGATGAAGCGCTCCTTTAGAATGAGAGTTCGGCGAGGTTACGGCGGAGTTTCGAGCTTCGGTGAAGTTGGGGCTAAGCTTTGATGATCCTTCCCCAAAGTATGAAGAAGTTTTCCTTTGTCGTAGGAGAGTTAATGCCTTGCTTCTTAGTTAGCACACCTCCTCCTTAAGAAAGTCTTCTCACGCAGTCAAGAAAAGTGGTGAAGGAAGATAAATGAGAAGAGGAAGAAGAGGGCTCTTTGTGGAAGAAGAAGAAAAGGAACAAGAAGAAGAGGTAGTGGGAAACTGAGCATCATTCCTACCTTTCTCCCAAGCTTTTCTCATTTTCAATCCTCTAAGAAGACCTTCTAGCTCTCATCTTCAATCCTCTAAGAAGATCTTCTAGCTCCAAGGAAGAAGAAGCTCAAGCTCTCTCTAGGAAGAAGATGAACAAGCTCTCCTCCCTACTCCCAAAATGCTAAAGATCTTTGCTTTGGAGGAGTTATGGAAGAAGAAGCCAACCAACCCCACTTTCCCTCCTAATTTGCCAAAAATGGCCTTGCTCCCTCACCTTGGAAGCTTCCAAAAGAGCCCTAAAAGAGGTATTATCATCCTCGTTTTCCATCCCCAAAGGAAATCCCCTCAAAGGAGATCCATCTTTTCGGCTGCCTAGGGAAATGCACTGGGATCAAAACGGCCCCAAAAATGAGAAAAATTCCTTCATGGAACTGAACTGGCACCTAGGCACTGCGACTCTGGTACCCTAGCGCCTACTTTCCCAACGCTCGAGAAAGGCCATTTTTTTTGGTGATTTTGGGCTCCTAAGCGCCTGGGATTGTCACCTGCTTTCCCAAGGATGGGTAAATGGCTCTGGAAAGAAGTTTTGGGTGCCTAGGTGCCCGGGACTGGTGCCTAGGCGATGGTCTATCTCGAAAACCTTGATTTTCTCGTGGATTGTCTGACAGAAGGTTTCTTTGATTCCACGAGCTATGGGGGGCCAAACATGATTGAAATATGACCCCATAACTTTGAAAATATGTATTTTTATCGATCATTTGACGGGAAAATAGTAGCCAACAGTTGCTCTGGACCAGCGTGCGGGTAGGGTGTTCCAAACCCAAATGTTTGCTCGGTTGACCGTAGGAGGGTCCTTGTTGATTTAGAAGCCATTGAAAGTTATGTATTGCTAGAATACAACCTTGTAACTCATACATGAACATTTTAGGGGTTTCAGAACGAGGTTTTCAGTGTTGACAGGGTCCTCGACCCCGCGAGGGTTGAAATCGGTCTGAACTCGAATTATCTCAAAATGTGCGTGGGAGATCTTGATGATTACCTTTGGTCTTAAAAGACTCTGGATTGATGGAGTTGGGTCTCTTAACATCAAAACAGACATAAAATACGTCCGGAGTTTGGGCTAATACCACCTTACGGTGAATTTTCTCAGGTATGATCGAGTCGATACTAGTTCCGATATCATGCTCGGGCACGTACCAGGAGCTCCAATTGAATGCCTTGGACGACGAAAAACTGAACACAACCCATGCTTCTTGTAGGTGACATCAAAAATTGATAAGAGGAATCTTTTACATTTTAGTTTAAAAATTGGATAATAATGTTCCATCTTAATTTTGATCAGGAAAATGAATTTTATAATCATAATTTTGCTTTGAGATGATCATGATATTACTTTTCATTGATTATTTCAATGTAAATTTGAAGATTATCACAACTTAATTTGAATATTTGTACCCTTTTTTTTCTCCTGAATATAATGAGAATTGATGACTTCTAGCTTTCGTCAGTTAAGGGTTCATTTACATACATAGCACACAATTCTTATGTATTTACATATCTTACATCTAAACTTTCATATTTACATGCATAGTACTTTTCATGCATTAAGTTTAAAGTAAAAAAAAAAAACTGCAGTTTAAATGTGAGATATATAAATGCATAAAATTCTGTGCTATTTTATGTAAATTTCCCTTTTTAATATCTTTATGCTTTAACAGTGTTATACATTTTGAATTCATTTGGGTAGAGGCAAAAATGAGACATGCAAATGTAGAATTCATGTATGCTAGAAATTTTAACCTCTTTCTTGAAATTATCATGAACTCTACTTGAAAATTTGGCAAAACTTGTAAAAAATAAATAAATCTCAAATTTATTGAATTTATGTTGAGATGAGTTTAATATAAATTTAAATAATTTCTTATATATATTATAATTATTTTACAATGAACTTAATAACCTTAATTCATCCTAACCTTTGTTTTTAGCAAAAATAAAAAATGTCCAGTTAATGTACATGCCAATTTCATATCAAAAATGTGACGAACATCACCGCCAACAACAACTAATAATTAAAAAAAAAAAAAATTACAACATACTGTTGAACTTAATAACCTTAATTCATCTGAAGTGGAATCATCTCCTAAGAATCGAATGGTACTTCAATTGTAATTTGATCCAATGAAGATATTTATTTTCAATTTCCCCTCCTTTGCAACCCTTTAGACGCTGTTGTTGTCGCCTGTCCACACTGTCGAAACTACCAGACAACATTCTCGTTGTCTTCCTTCAACTTCAATCGCCAGCCACCACCTCTACCAACAACCATCTCCAACCACCTCCCACCTCGTTTTAATTTATTCCAACCGCCAATCTTCGTTGTCCAACCACTCCTCTCATTGCTACAAGCCTGGGACAGCCCTCCCTTTGTGGTCCTGCAGCCGCACACCTTCCTGTCACCATCATTGTCATTCTTGCTTGTTTAGAAGCCCCACACTCATTGTCATTCTCATTCCTACCCGCTACAACCGCCCAGAAACACCCTTTTTCAGGTTTTTTGTTGTTTCGAACTCTCGGCCAGCTGTTTCCTCCATTTCGTCTTGTCGACATTGCCACTACTCCTCCCACACCACCTTCCAAATCCTAGCCAACCATTACTACCGCAATTCTTGGGATACACTCTAATCATTTTTGCTTTTGTTTGTTATTATATTTTTATTGTAATCATATATTTATTTTCAATAATTTTATTTAATTTTTTCCAATTAGGGTTAACTCAAATATCATATACAAAAATAATGTTGCCACATATTGCATGTTTAAACTCCAACTATTGACTATATCCTGTGATCAAGTTCAAAACAAATAAATAAATTAACTGAACAAAGCTAGAAATTTAATCACCCCTCATTTATATCATAGTTAAATTTTCACACTCAAAAACAGCTCAATCCATTAAGATGGATACGTGAGTGAATGCTAAAGTTCAAGGACTCTCAGTCAGTAGCCCTTATTACCACGAATCCTTGCCCTCATATCAACCTGCAAGTTTCCAATTAAAAAAAAAAACAAAACAATTATTTAATTTATTTACAAACTATATCTAACCAACAACTAAAACAAAATAAGACAATAAATGGATCATAGTATGAACATGACTTAGGCTAATCATATCATAATTCATCATTTTAGTATGTACTAAATATATCAATCTTCAAAAGCAATTCCTAAGCATGAAACTTACTCATCATCCGCGAATATACATTTTGTATGCACAACGAGATGTAGCTCATAAGTGTACAACGTTATGTAATGAAAAGGAGCCTAACTCAATACTAATCAATACAATGGGGTGTAGCTCATGCATTTATTATTATCTGCGGCAGATGAAAAGGCTAAGAGCATCAACACGCAAATACTTTTAACATCCTCTTCTAATATTATAAGGGGTGTTCAATCTTCCAACTTATAATATCAACATCTAAGAAACACTACATATAATAGCATATGATTTGCTTAAACAACTAAAGCATAACATGGTGATTTAATTATCATCTTTCTCTCTTAATGGGTAGATACACATCAAAAAAATTTTAGCTTCAAGATACACTCCAACTCTAGTAAAAAAGAAGTACTTGCATACTTTATAATAACTTCAAATATTTATACATAGCAATTTTCCACCACCTCTAGCTTGAGATTGATAATTTTGAATCAATTGACCATACGCAGGCCCATTAGGCTTTGGTCGGTTTTCTAAACTCTCCTATAATTAGGGCGGCCTAGTGTGCTCTAGTTTAGGAGAAATGAGCGCAAATGGGCTATTTTGATCCATTTAGACTAGGAATGACCAAGAGCTTTAACAAAGGGTTTTAAATACGTGAGTCCCTAGGGTCCTAGTGTATGTGTGGATGATTCCTAGGTGGTTAAATCCATGGGGATAAGCTTTACGTTCGCCCAATTTTAGTGTATTAGACTAGGTTGACCACAGAGCTGACCATGAGGTTATGGGTCTCCTAGAACTCAGGCTAGGTTGAAATGAAATATGGCTACAAAAGCTTAGGTCTCGCAATCTGTCCTAACAAATTTGGGCTGGAATTAACCAAATAATTGGTTAGGCCTAGACTAGGATTAAGATTTCACCAGAAGCTCTTGCTCCCAAGCTAGGTCTTGGGTAAGCTTTATGAGTGATAAAGTCGATTAGGCTTAATGTTGTGAGAGTCGAACATCAGGCATACGCCCGAGTGTCGTGAATTGAATGCACAAATCCTGACCCCCTTCCTGCAACTTCCATGCTTCACGGAGCAAAAATCTCTCAATTCCCTTTCCTTTTTGGCTTACCGTCATCCAGAAATTGCCACAACACGATTTTTTATGTTAATTTTTTTTTTTTTCCCACTCAACCTTGACACCTCTCTCCTCTATTTATTAGCAACGTAAGTGTTAGGGCATCACACACACACTCTCCCTCTCCTCTTACAAACACCAAATTCTCTTGAGCAACTCCTCTCCTCCTCCCAAGCTCTGGTTGCAGCGCTCATTTCCTCGTCTTACACGGTAACACCCATCAAGAGTCGAACCCCTTTCTTCCTCCTTCCTCTGCAGATTGATCGCGTGAGCCCCTCCTTCCTTTAATTCATTTTTTTTTTCGATTTTAAAAGAATTTTTTAATATATAGTAAATTATTTGATTATTTTGATACACTAAGGTTGAGATGGCTCTAATTAGATTCATACTTTCTCGCTCTTCTCAGGTAAGTAATTGTTATTTGTTGAGGAATAAAAGAAAGCTTCATAGTTAGAGATGTTATCTTTACTCCTTGTATTAAATTTATAGTTACTTTGTAGGATTATCAATCCAACAAATTTTGCTTCAATTTGTTTTTTTCGCACTTAGTTTAGGATTCATTTATTGCTCATAATGAAGTAATTAAATATATTTTATTGTTACACAGCTCCTTGCATATTTGATTATCATATAACTATAATGTTTTCTTTTCTGACAAGTTAATCTTATGGATTGCAATTAGATTTCTCACATATTATGATCATACTTGAAATAGTAAATATGTTGGTCATGTTATTTGAATAAAATTCCATTGAAAAATTGGTCAATGTATTTATATGTGTGATGACTTACAAGTTACGGGAGCTTTTTTGAATATTGACTAGTCGAGCCGACGGACTCACAGAGTGATTGCATTGTGTTTCAATGATTTCATATTTCATTAAATGGATTGAGTATGTTCATATTATGTTGATTTCAACTTCAACCTTTATAGTGTCACACATGCACGCATACAGACACAGTGAATCGTCCATTTTGTTATTCATACTTCATGTACGCGCGCGCGCGCACAGTGAATCATCTAATTTGTTATTCATACACCATGTGCGTGCGCGCAAACACAAAAATAGTGAATTGTCCATTTTGTTATTCATACTCCATGTACACACACGCACATAGTGAATTGTCCATTTTGTTGTTCATACTCCATGTCATAATTCCTTGTCTTTATGTATGGTCGGTTCCATTCAACCATTTGCAAGACCGTCTCCAAAGAAGCAAACATCAAAGTTCTAAATTTCTTTTTGATATTTTCAATTTTTACATTATTTATTTTATTTTATTTTTAGGTTTTGAGTAGTTATTTCCTATTATCAGTTTAGTTTTGCTTCAGTCAATTACTTTTCTTTTAGTTGTAATATTTGGACTCTTATTTATAGAATAAAATTTATATTTTCTTACTTAATTTCAATATTGTTAGTATACATTTTTTCTCTTGAGAATACAAAAGAAGTTTCATTCATTTTATCACGCCTTAAGTTGTCAGGGTGTACCGCCTCCCAAACCCAATGTGTGGCCGATGTACTCATTTTTTAGATAATATGATTTCAACAATGTATATAACATATTGAATATAATCAACTATTCTCCCAACTTGGAAGATCATCAAACTAAGTTTGATCGCCTAAAAGGTATATTCACAGATGGCCTCTTTGAAAAAAAAAACAATTACTTTGATAGAAAAATTGCGAGCATCATATCATATGATAAGAGACAAAATTGTCATTCGCCATTATAATTCATACCATGAAATAATAGTATTCTAATTACATATACATAATTACAAAGTTCCTCACAACAGGTAATTTTATTCCCTTAAAATATTTGCCACTTAATTGAATATTTTTAGTGTCTAACCAAAATTGCAACTTCATTCCATAATGTACTCAAGACAAAAAATATATATTGCTAATATCTCATATAATTTTTATCACTACCAAAACTTCAACTGATAGGAGATAATTAATCATGGAGAAGTGTTCAAATCCAAATACACTTCAAAAAATGATAGTGATTGTCTAGTTTTGACATAATTGCATATAACAACCAAAACATATTTTCTTCGAAAAGTTATTTTTCTTCACTATTAACTTTTAATTACTTGAATAGAATTCATATCAACCACTTTCTTTTCTCTCTCCAAAGAACGTCTCTTGGAACCTTATCTTAAGCTTTTTCTAAATCAATATGTAGATCCTCCTTACTCTCTTTGTACTTCTCCATCAAAATTCTCAATAAATGTATACTTTCCATGATAGACTCATTTTTTAGATATTATGATATCATTCAATTTCAACAATATATAACAGATTGAATATAATCAACTATTCTCCCAATTTGGAAGATCATCAAAATAAGTTTGATCCCTAAAAGGTATATTCATAGATGACCTCTTTGAAAAAAAAACAATTATTTTGGTTGTAAACTTGAGGGTTTCATATCATATAAGAAGAGACAAAATTGTCATTCGCCATTATAACTCATACCATGAAATAATATTCTAATTACATATACACAATTATAAAGTTCCTCACAACAGGTTATTTTATTATCTTAAAATATCTGAAACTTAACTGGATATTTTTAGTGCCTAACCAAAATTGCAACTTCATTCCATAAGCTCCTCAAGACAAAAAATATATATTGCTAATTTCATATATAATCTTTATCACTACCAAAACTTAAAACTTATAGGAAATAATTAATAATGGAGATGTGTTTAATTCCAAATACAATTCAAAAAATGTAGTGATGTCTAGCTTTGGCATAATAGCCTATAACAACCAAAACGTATTTTCCTCTAAAAATAATTTTTCTTCACTATTAACTTTTAATGGCTTGAGTATAAATCATAGCAACACATTTCTTTTCTAGAGCTCTCCAAAGAACGTCTCTTGGAACCTTATTGTAAACTTATTCTAAATCAATAAAAATCATACGTAGATCCGCCTTACTCTCTTTGTACTTCTCCATCAAACCTCTCAATAAATGTATAGTTTCCATGGTAGACTTGCATAAATCCAAACTGATTATGAGAAAGAATTTATAATTCCATAGATGTAAATTTTTTTGAACATTAATCTTACTACTAAAAATTCAAATTTCCAAATTTCCGAGGAAGAAATTCAAGAAAAAGAATTTCCAATATTAGACTTATTTGATCATCCACTATACTTTCTCATCAAACACGAGGTCAATAAAAATTCCTCATGATGTCTCACTCAACCTATAAAAGCCACTCCAAAGCCGTAAACTTTCTCATCTCCATTTTAATATTTTCAACCTACAAAATTCAAACCAGAACAGCAAAATCCCTCATCACCTTATCAAACGCAAAATTTATGCAGAAATGAGCTTCATATTTATACTAGGAGTGAAAAAATCTATGAAAGAGAGCTATTAAAAAAATGTCCGGTACATCCAATAACTTGAGCCTAGTTCAATGACCATTTTAGCATGAACAAGTGAAAATAAATTCATGCATGATGAAGCTAATCTCCATTTTTCTAATGCATTAGGAAAAAGGCAAAATCATGAACAAAACACCCAATTTATAATTCATGGCCTATGAAAAGCTTTAATTTAACTTTGTAATGTCTTCACGTCTCTTGATAAAATACGTATTATAAAGAATGTCATAAACCTCGCAAGCCTCCAAATGGAAAAACTCGGACCTTGGAAAAAAGCGTCCATGAAACGGTTTTGTACTTACCAAAAAAAAATTGATTTAATAAAAATGAATTTTACAATCATAGAACATAAATAGACCGACTTATTACAAAACAATATACACAATCATATGGCAATAACCATTGATTAGGTTTTTCTCTCTTTGTCGGTAAATTTGGATGTTCTCTACAATAAGTTGACAAGAAAAATAGTTTTCTTAATGGGGACCTTAAGGATGAGGCATATGGGGATATCTCACAGGATTGAAAAATCAAAAAAACACTTATAAAATATGGAAAATCAAGAAAGCCCTATGCATCCTCAAATAATCCACTCATGGTATATTCAATGCCAAATTAATCACATTGTCTTTATCAAGTGCTGGCCTAGCAGAAAGCAGCAATCATGATAGTGTATGCAGATAATATTTTATAGACAGGTAACTTTAAAAATAAGATAAATAATTAAAATGCTTTCTAAAAAAATAATTTAAAATAAAAGGATTAAGAAATCTAAAATACTTTTTTGTATAGAAATTCCACAATCAAAATAAGGTAGTATTATTTCTCAAATAAAATATATTCTTGGTCTACTTTAAGGGAAAAAAAATTGTCAGTAAGCTTACAAAAACTATAAGGGAACCAGCAAAAAAAATGAGAAAACTACTATAGCACGCCTATTAATAAAACTTGGAATCAATGTCTTGTGCGCCAACTCACTGCTTATGTCTCACCCACCTCGTATTGAGTTTCTTGTTCAGTTTATAAGATAAAAAATGAATAAACTCCCACATAGAAGCTATTAACAGCAATATTAAAAAACTCAAGATGACACCAGAGATAGCCATGATATATAAAAACTCATCCAATATGGAATGAAAATTTTCAAAAAAATTATTAGGCAAGAGGCAAGTCAAACCGAAGAACAATCTCGATTTATTGTACTTATACATATGAAAACATGGTTACATAAAAATGTAAGATATAACTCAAGAACTAATATTGAAACTTAAAGCAGGGTAGTGACATTTAGTAATAGCAAAATAATGTGATTAAAAAGATTACTAAAAGAGATAAACCGTTAAAAGGAAAAAGCTTTAAGATAATCCTATAATAAGCAGGCTAACATAATTACTACAAAAATATTATCCATTTTGAAAGTACTAAACAAATAGAGATTAACTGACATTTGATCTAATAAAAATTTAAAAATGGACTAGTCCATCCAATTTCTATTCTAATAAACTCTCAAAATACAAATATCCTCACCAGGGCTTTACAAAGAATGACTATTGATTATCTAATAGAAAAATTAAGCATGACGAATATACTCAACCCAGCTTGAGGAGTATTCAAATAATTCAAAATTTGTTGCTCTCACGTTTCCATCTAAAACAATCTAACCATTTGTGGATAATAGTTCTCCATCCACAAGGCCGCATTCGAATTTTGCTATATTTAATTCTAACTTCAAACCAAAGATTGATTTCCAAATTTGTTTCTTTCATAAATGATTATTTCTCCATAACTTTCAGCGCAGCTTCGTGTTTAAATAAAACTTAGAAATATAATCTCCATTTTCTTCTCCTCTGTTTTAATTACAATTTTTAAAACATATTTCATTTTTATGGGAATTTGTTTTATTAACTTTTTTATTTTTTAAAATGTGTATTTTTTCATGTATTTTGCACAAAAAATACTAGTGCCTCGTTTTTTTAATTCTCAATAACATTTGATGCACAATTGTATAAGGCCATTCTAAACCAACACAAACAAATATTTTTGACAGATAAATTCACACATCTTTTATGCCAAAGAGTTTCTATTGCATTCGAGTAAAAAAGCATGTGTAGCATGCTTTATGATATGACTTATTCTGCATCTAAAGCATAATTAAATACCTTGTGTTATTTGGGGCAAATTCTAGTTCAAAACTTCGTCTATTAATTTGTGATAAAGGTTGTAGAAAAATACAAGTGTGTGCAAGTTATTGCATGCTTTTATATGCATCATTACTCATTGTTCTGCATGCAAACTCACTCACATTCATGTTCTTTCTAGAGATAAATTGACCAAAATATGTACAAAACTATATATCTTTATTGTTAACTATTTGCATGCTATACACTGCACTTTCTAGTTCATTTCAGTCGTGAGATTCTGTCAAAGTTGATTTAACTTACATTGCAAAAAAATCTTACTGTATTAAAAATATAGATTTGTTGATTTGTTCAGTAAAACATCATCATTAAAATTAGTTTACATGTATTTATAGAATATATGTCTATGGCAACTCCCTCGCAAATTTTTTCTCATGTCAATCATTTCCTTGCATTGCAAATTAAGCAATTAAATAAGTATCTTGTATTGTTCGGTGCTTTGGACGCATTGAAATGATTTATTTGGTGAGATGGGTGAGGGCGCTATGAGTCCACTCAAAAAAAAAATTACATTTATTTCCCTTCTTCCTCCACGTTTTAAATCAGGTTGCCTTGTAGATCATATAAGGAGGTGGACATGCAACAAAAAACCACTGTCATTGAGACTAGGAGCAACAAAGATGAGTTTGATATTTAAGAATGAAGTCATATAATATATTTGTTATGAGAAGGAGAAGAGAAATGATAAAAAGATTGAAAATAAAAAAGAACTGAATAAGAAAGACAAAACTATGCAAGAGCTATCAAAAATTAGGGCAGTACATTTTTGGGGATGATAATCATATGGTGGGGAGAAAGACTAAAAGAGAGTTTGTGTGATATTCATGTAAACTTAAAGATGCCGGATTACAATGAATTTATGCACATTTTGCTAAGCATTTCAAGCATGCAATGCATCTTTGCAACATACCTGACCTCTCTTGCAATTAAAATATGTTTCTCTTAGACCAATACATTCACTTGATATAGCAGGTTCCTTCTCTCCAGCACATTCCCTGTATGGTCTATTTTGAACCTACACAAATGCATTTAAATCAATCAAAAGACAAACAGAAGCAATACTAAACTATTCTCTACCTTTTTCTAGGTTACAAAAAAATCAGAATTTGCAAGACAGTCAATTAGATTTACCAAAATGTACAAAATAGTTCAGGTTTAGCTTTATTTCCACTAGGATTTTGAGTTGATGTGAAATTATCCTTTTGGATAATCATTAGGTTGTTTGAAAGGTAATTGTGGCTTCAATCCCTCCCTCCCACTCTCTCTCTAGCCATGCTTGTATGTCATTTGCATTGAACCTGATTTTTTTCCACCTATCCACCTACCAATCCCCACAGGACTTCATTGGGCCAACACTCTCACCTTTTTGAAGATCACATTCTAAATTCAATAGCAAATACCATAAAAAATGAGAAGTATTAATAAATTATGGTTTTCTTGGCTGCAAGTATGATTTAACTCAAATTAGATCAACTTAATCTTCTAAATCTATGTTTTGCAAATCCTGAAGGTTTTGAATCTTAAAATTTATCTAACACCTCAAATGTAAACCCTGCTTAAATTTATAGCATAATTCCAAACGTTTCAATGTTCTTCGTTGATTCTCCAAATGCCCACATTGAAAAACAGAACGCAAGGCCACCCAATCTCGATTATCCAACATCGTTCTTCCATTCAACAAAGGTTCAAAACGTCAACACGACATGACGCTCGATTCATTCCTCCGCTGCATAGCTACAGAAACTCTCTTAAGAAATTAAAGCAAAAGGCGTGGAAAAGACAGGAAGCGAAAGAATGAATAGAGAAAGAAGAGACAGTGGATTCGCTCACCTTTACGCAGTCGGTTTCGCTGAGACATTTCACGAGCTCCATTGCCAAGCCCTTGCATGACTTCGACATTCGCCTATAATTCTCCAAAACCAGAAGCAGGGCGAATCGCTTTATATAGTGGTGCCGAATTTGGTTCCAAAGAATACCGGTGAACATACCGTCTGTGTGAGAAAACGGAAGATTTAAAAGTTCATATTTATATTTATAGCACATTGGCTTTATAGACATATGACTGAAATAATATATGTTGATACTTTTAATGTTGTGTCAAAAATTTGAGAGGTAGATATGTAAATATAAAAGTTTAGTTGTTATATACGTAAATAAATAAGAATTGTGTGATATGTATGTAAATGCCCCAAAATGTCATTGATATTAATGTAGGCGCTATTGTTAGTATGGTTATGGGCCTATGGTTGTAAATTGCTTAATAGTATCTATTTCAATAGTAGTTTATTTATATATTAAATTGACTTTTAGAGCAATTAACAAAGTGTTAAAGTTTAATTATTGTTGTGAAATCTATATAATGTCTTGGAGGATCCGGACAGGATATGTGAAATCATTATGATTTAGGAAGGAGATATATCAATCATTTTGAGAAATGATGCATTCGAAGCGTCTCTCTGAGGAGTTGTTATAAATGTAACATAAGATCCAAATGACTCTTTTTCAATCTATTTTAGTTGTTTTTTTTAATATTATTGCACTAGATGTAATATAAGCATTGTCACATCTCCTATGTTCCTTATTTATATCAAAAGAAGGCCTTCATTTTATTGTTTATGTTCTACTTATAGTTGTCTTAATTTTGATTGTTATGATTTTGTTTTATGAAGTGCATATACTTTTCTAAGTGATATGGTTGAGTGAAATTAGCTTTGAATTTTTGTTGAACTATGCTTTGTGCTTTGTAAATTTAAAAAAGTGCTCTTTTTGAGGTGTTTATGCTCGCTCACTTGTCTGTTATAAGGCCGTTAAAAAAGTCATGATTATTGAACTCGTTGCTATATATGTTAAAATAAGGATAATTTGAAATGAGCAAACATCAAGCATTATTCATGATGTGATTGTGGAGAGAAAACGAAGTTTCTTTCAACACATACTAGTTGTTTATGTTCTTGATTTTGGATGACCATCCTGTTATGGCAACTTGAACTTGGAATTTACCATGAATAAAGGTTTGATTGAAACTAATTTTCTTTAAACCCAACTTTGACATTTATTTATTATATATCTCAATTATCAAGAATTTTAAACATCTTCCTCTGAGAATGTGTGCATCTCTTTATAGTTAGTAATTGTAATGAAAATTTTCATATTTAGGACTGTATTTTCTTATTTAGTACCATCCAATTCAGAATGGTCATCGTAGTATCCAAATTAGAGGTTGTTTCATTGAAAGCATTAATAATGTATTATATTTATTGTCCTTGAATTCCAATTTTCTCTTTAATTTTGAGAAAAAAAGAAATTTCTTATGTGTGAAATATCGTACGGTATGTTTGTTTTGAAAAATTGAGTGCAAGGTAAAATGATTGTAGGAGATTTAAATTTTAAGATGTTTTCTTAGGCTAAAATAAGCACTAAATAAACCCCAAAAATTTTAGAATGTCCAATCAAATTCAATTTTTTCGCATTTTAAATCTGTTAAAATAAAGTGATTTTTTAATATAGCACATTTTGCCACAATAGAGCCTCGTGGCTTTGTTCTTCAACCCTCATGAATGACCTCATTTGGAGTCCTCGTTGCTCTGTCTTTAATCCCGTGACTTGGGACTCTATCTCCAGTGTTTCATTGAGCACCTGAGTGCAGCTCCACCATCGTAAGACTCGGCCTTCCATCAACATGTGTCATAGTCGCATCCCTTCACCTCAAACTCATGTGATGCCAAACTCTTGCATGTAACTCTTGACCTCAAACCCTTATGCAAAATTCTCACTTTAACCCTTTCACCCTCATTGCCAATGAGCATTGGCCTTACCCCCGTCCTCGTGAAAAGCGGTTATAACATTGTGAAAGTTTATAATATTTTTGAATTTTTCATCAAAACAAACATAGATTTTGTTCCATTACATATCGAATGTAATGAGCTAAACATCAACATTAACTTTGAAGTGCATCAGATTTTCTTAATTAACATTTAAAATACATACATACAATTTCTAAATGCAAGGAGAAGAGAGTTTTGATATATGTCAATCAATACTCCTTATAGTCCATTATCATCACTCGTTGCTAACATTCACATGTCTTTACAACAATTAACATATGTTGTTTGCTGCTCATCACAACCTCTTGTCATGAGTTCTCACCTTTATTGCCAGCCACTAACCCTAACACACCTCTCCAAATTTTAATTTATTTCAAATATTTCATAAAAAAATATTCTATGCATTTGATTTGTATCAATTTAAATAACTAATGAATTTATAAAATACATACATTTCAATTACTATATATATTATAAAAATATTTTTATTTTCAACAAATATAATAAAATTCTATTTTACTATAATTTATATTTTAACATTCAAATTTATTTCCGTGAAAATTTTGAATTTAAGGGGTGTAAGTGAGTCAAGCCGACTCGTGCTCGGCTCGATAAGTGGCTCGTTAGCTTAGCTAGATAAGCTAACAAGTCAAGCTCAAGGCAACTTAGACTTCATTAGCTTGTCATCCAGTACGTTTAAAATATATTAATATAAAATATACTCAAAATATATTAATATAAAATATACTCAAAATATATTAAATTACTATACAATATTTTTAAATTACTAAAAGTATTTAAAAATTAGTATGCCCTGATAGTATCCCCAATAGAAATGTGAAAACTTTTTGAAGATTTGAAAGTTTATTGGTTTACTAAACTTTTTAATATCATCTTAAGAACGAAAAAGACTCATGTGGAGTGGATAAAGAGTATTTTGGCCTCCATTTCTAAGATTGAATGGGGATGCACAAGAGTGTGCGGATTATAGATGAACTGAGTCAATGTGTAGTACATTAAATTTATGAGAGAGAGTAATTAAACATAGGTTAATATGTGATACAAAGGATTCTCATAATCAATTTGATTTATGTCGAACAAGTCTACTATGGAACCTATACATTTATTTAGAGGTATGATGAAAAAGTATAGAGAGAGTAAGAAGGGCCTACTAATGATTTTTTATTAATTTAGGAAAAAATTATAACAAGGTTCCAAGAAGTTCTTTAGAGAGTTCTAGAAAAGAAAGATATTAATACAATTTATATTTAAGTCATTGAAGATATGCATACTAGAATTGTTGCTTGTGTTCGAATAGAAAAATGATCAACCAAGATATCTTCATATTTCACTTGAATTACGTTTGAGTTCGGCTTTAAGCCCATATCTTTTTGTCTTAGTTATGAATGCTTTTACTAGGCATTTGCATGAGGATATACCTTGGTTTATGCTTTTCATTGAAGCTATCATTCTCGTGGATATGACTAGAGAAAGAGTTTTAGAAGAAGTTGAATTATGGAAGTCTACATTTGAGTTTGAAGACTTTTGCTTGAGTAAATCTAAAATTGAATGTATGGATTATAATTTTAATAACACTAGATTTAGTGGGAAAGCAATCAAATCATTCAAAAGAGTAAACATTTTAGATATATCGATCTACTGTTCAAAGTAATGGTGATATAAAAGGGGATGTTATCAGTAGAATTCAAGCTGGAAGACTGAAGTGGAGGAATGCATTAGGAATATTATGTGATAGAAAAAAACCGCTTTGACTTAAAAGAAAATTTTATAAGATGATAAAGAGACATACAATATTATATGGAGCAAAATGTTGGCCTATAAAAGAGAAGCATAAAACTAAGTTAAATGTTGCTGAGATGAGAATGCATGGATGGATAGTGGCTTGACACTTATATACAAAATGTGAAACGTATGTCTATGAAATGATTGGTGTAGCTCCAATGATAGATAAGATTACAGAGTCATCTTATATAGTTTGACCAGAGTAAACATAGAACATTTGAATTTTCGGTTAGGTGAGTACATGTTTTAGATTTAACATATATTAAGAAAGATTGAGATAGACCTAAAAAGACTTCGGCATCTCACATAAAAATGGTCTTAACTTATTATAATTAAATAAAAATGCACTTAACATAACACAATAGAGAAAAGATTCATGTAGCTGACCTCATTCATTGAGATAAAAGACTTCTTGTAGCTATAAAAATAGTTTAAAAATCATATTTAATATTTTATGTAATTTAATTAAATTTTTATTATTTTTCTCACAATTCCTTATTCTACTTGTTATTTATTATAATGGCTAGCCCATTCTTCACGCGGAATCTGCTCCGAGCTTAGCGGGCTTCGTTCGAACATGGCAGCGGTCAGGGAAGTGGTGCTCGACGAATCCGTTCTCTTCACTGAGGACGCCCTCGGAAATCCTTCCCTCTCTACAGCTTCGGCTTCCCTCCTCCGTCGGCTTCGCCACTCCAATCTACGCGTGGTAATAAACCTTGAACCTAAAACAACCACCTTTACTCGATCGTCTTCAAGTGTTGCGGAACGATTGTGTACTTTGTCGCACGAACTAAAATAGGACTAATACGTTTGGTTTTTACGGGAATAAACTAGGTTTACGCATCTCCATAACTTTGATACATTCCCAACCTCATCTTAAGGCGGAGATGAGGCAATACCAACTGTTTTTATCATCATTACTCCTACTCTTGTTCCCATCTTTGATTTCGGACGGAACAATAGAGTTTTCCTAGGGCAGCCCATTTTGGTTCCTATTCATAGTTTTTTCAGATTAGATTGATCCCAGCTTGGCTTTCTACTTTCTCATATACTTTTCTGCACTGCCTTTGAAAGTACCAAGTATGGCTAGCTTGAATGGAAGAACCAACTTTCGTGGGCATGGAAGAGGCTTGCACCTTCGTGAAGTTATACTAAATGTTTCTTTGATACCAATCTTGCAGGTCGAATCCAAGAAATATATCTCATTTCCACATTTAAATTAAAAAATGCAATCTTTTACTGTAATACGTCATATGCCTTTTCTGATTGTTAATTGTCTGTCCTTTTGATTGTAGCCTCAATCTTTTATTTTGAATCCTTGATGGACTTGGGATATTTATATTCTGTGATAGAATACAATCAAAGTAAGAGAAACTACGTCACACTCTTTACTCGGTTTGAATCCTCATGTTACATAACCATGTAGACTTTTAAAAAACCTTGATTATAATGCTTTTGATGCTTGCAGTTATTGGCTCCAGGACTCTTCCTGTCAAATCCTAGTCAGCAAAGATGAATAACATTAACAAACTCCACAATCTTTATAAACTATGCCCTTTCCAATCCTGTTAGTTTGATGGCGTTGAAATAACCCCATAATCAACCCTTATAAAAGATACAAATGTAGATCATCTGTCAATTGGTTTAAGGGATAGTGCTCCCCATATTCCTGAGGTATTTTAAGATTAAATTTATTTAAAGCTCTTATTTATTGCTTATCCTTCTGCTGAGCACTACAGAGTGATATTTTTTTAAAAATCTCCATTTTGGAATACCTAAACATACAAATTTTTGAAAGTACAAGCTCAATCTATTGAGGAGACTGTTGACGGCTTGAAAAAATTGCAGTAGTCAGTTATTCAGAGTTCTCTTATGAAAATAAAATAAAAAATATATTATTATTATTATTATTATTTAATAAATAAAATAGATTTGGGAAGGAAGATATTGAACTATCTTGAGATCTTTATCTAACTTTAAAATGGGGAAAAGAGTTCTCAATGTTGTTTCATCTTATATTGCCTGCATTTCAGTTGCAAAAGCTAGTTGCTTTGAAATGAGATGTCACAGGTTTGTGTTTGTTTGAGCTACAATGAATTCCTTTATTATTATTATTATTATTATTATTACTATTATTATATGTGAAAGTAATTTTCTAACCCATTATCCTATTAATTAATATTACTATATTGTCATGAAATGTTATTCACATCTTGTCATTTTTTTAACTCAAAGTGATAACTAAATGGCATAGGATGGGATGGATAGACACTGTAAGCTAGTCTTAAAGTCATCAATCGTTCCTTTTCTCATACAAGTTTAGAGATGCTTTTAGCTACTAGAGATTTGCATTATCATGTATGAAATTTTTTCTTTTGGCTGCAAAAGGATTTAAACTGAAATCTGTCAATGATGTGATTGTTGTACTAATCTTTAGGGTCATGGTTGATGCTCTAAAAGCTCATTATGACTTTTGCTATCCATTTGACCTACTTCCTCATTGTGCTAATAATTCTGATAAGCATGATGCTCTACTTGCGATGTATAATCTCTACCTCATCAATGTCCACTTCTTACACAAAGGCTCTTAATATTATGCTTCTTCTTTCTCTTGGACTCTTCAAATTTCTTAACACATCTATTACCTGAACTTGCTTGCTGTCAACACCATACTTTTGTCTTCACATTATTTTCACAAACAGACAAGGATAACTTGATGATAAAATGAAAACTTGCAAAAGATTATTAAGGAAAAGGGTCTCTTTGAAAGGGGTGAGAAAAGGCTTTATAGTTTGGGACTATGATTTTTCATGTTTTTGTACTTTAGGTTAGACAATGAGGAATGATAATTAGAAAAAGTTATCAGTCTCCAGAACTCATTGGATAGTCACCACTTGGGTTAGAACGACAAACCAGGCTTAAGCAAAATCTATAAAAGTGTCAATGCAATGCAAAATATGATCATCGGATTGTATTCCATGATCTATATTAAAAATTTGATTGTTTCCATGGTTGTATAATTTAATTTTAAACAGGCAAAAATTTTAATAATCAATTTTGTTACTATTTTTATGCCAAAAAATTGTTGTTAAAATAGAATTTAGGATCATACCAAGTATCCTTTCTTGCTACAATGCCACTGGTTAACATAGCGGTGATGTTTTTTTTTTTTTTAATTTTGATTTAATTTAATTATAAATTTTTATGATTAAATTTTAATTTTTTTAACTTGGATTAAATTTAATTATTTGATTTTTAGTTTATTTTTAATTTAAATTAAATTCATATCTAAGTTAAGATTTATATTCATGTTTTATATTCCACACTTACCAATTGTCAAAAGGTTAAACCGAAACCTTTTGCATCAAAACTTGACATCCTTTTGAGAGCTTTTAAATTAAAGTTTTAATTATTTTTATTTAATTTGAGTTTAAGCTAAAATATTTTTTTTATAACTCTAAATTTTTTTATAACTCTATATGTTGTTATCAAAAGAATAATCTCTATGTGACCTTTTAAAGTGATGTATGATTTTGATGCAAATGGTCTTGTTTGTTTTTTTTTTTTTTTTGACGATCCATGTATGTGGAATATAAACTTAGTATAAAAAATATTATAAGACTCAAATTAGATGTAAATTAAAAAGAAATAAACTACATTCTAAAAATAAATTTTAAATTTATTAAAATTTAAATCTAAAATTTAAAATTTAAATATATATATATATATATATATATATATGTGTGTGTGTGTGTGTGTGTGTGTTTAAATAAAAAAAACAAAAATTTTAAGTTAAATTAAAACAACTTCCTATGAGATTTTTAAATTTTTATTTTGTTTTCTCACAAAAGTACATATACAATGTCTGGCTTGTTTAAACAAAAAGTTCGTCATTTTCATCATGGTAAACAATGTTATGATAGTGGACAAGTCAACCCTTTATAGGTTCATTTCATCATACAAATTTTTTAAATGTTTATTTTTTGTTAAAAATAAAACAAAGTCCATCCTTAGAATTTTGTTGGGAAAAAATTGGTTTTACAGTCTATGGATTGCATCACACAGTCTACGTAAATAAGAAATTGTAACTATGAGTACCAACAACATGAGCAACCTAATAATTGATTGTATCATATAGTTGATCGAGACCAAATCACACCTCTTCTGCAGCTGATTAAACCGCTCTGTGAACTCTTCTATTGACAAATTTGTTTGCTGCAAGTGGTGGATCCTCGAAAACATTTCCCTGCAATAATGGGGTGGGAGGTATTTTCTTTGCATCGCCTTCTTTATCTTCTTCCACCTGGTAATCTTGTCGTTGCATTCCCATTTCCTCTCTCTATAAGTTCTCCTAACACAAAGAGTCAATTTTCTTCAACTTGATAGCAACTAATTGGACCATCTTATCCTATAGAACATCTTTATACTCAAAGATCAGTTCAATAGATTGCAGCCAATCAACAGTCTTCTGCATATGCACCTCCCTCAAACTCTAGCAGATTTACTTTGATGTTGAAGTTTTATGCTCTCCGAATGATATCTCTTCTCTGAAACTCTCTCTATGGAAAAGATTTAGATACCCTTCTCCAGGCTTCCCCTGATACTGGATTCTGAAATGTCATGGCCTATCTTCTTCATCGCTGAAATTTTCCCTATGGAAAAGATTCAAATCCTCCTCTCTTTCTCCCATTCAACTCTCTTGCTCTCAGTCAAGGGTCATCTCATCAATCTCCCTAAGCTTATGTTGAAGGCAATGTAGCTCTTGTCGTTTCTCTTCCCGAGTATGCCAAGGCATATGTTTTCTTGGTTGCAAGCCTAGGGTTTGGGATTTGTAAAGGTAGAAAGGATACTTGATGGTAGGAAAGAAAATTTTTTGTTTATGGTAGATGCTAGAAAATCTTAGGATAGGGCTAGGGTTAGGCTAGCTCTGATACCAAATAATACTGAAATTAGTTAGGAAATCAGCGGAAACGCAAAGTAGCTTTTTATTAGCATTTAATTAGAGTTCTAACATGACACAAACAAAAAAGGGAAATACAATAACAAACCACTTTCCAACTAGGATCGAAAGAAAAGATCCGAGGGCGGTGCTAGCATCGGTAAGGCGACAAGGTGTAGGGGGGAAGGTTGAGGATTGTTGGGTAGGATTGAATGGTACTTGGTGACTAGTTTGGAGATTTGGAAAGTGGGGTGGCAGGGAAAACTGCATGGAAGAGTGGAAAGGCTGTTGGTTGATGAGAATGAGATGAACATCAAAGAGAAGCACTATAGGTGATCAACATGATGCATGTGCGTGGTTGGGAGGTTTGTACAGCAAGACCAACAACAGGGGGCAGGAACCGACAGCTGGAAGGTGGTAGGGAGATCTGGACAGCAAGTTACTGCTACGAGGAGGTGGCGGCAACAGAGGGACTAGATGATGTGGGGAGGTCGGCGGTTAGGGGAAAGGGGAAAACCTCTTTGTTAAGCGGTTTGCCGGTGCTCAACACCACATCACTGTAAGTGATTTTGTGGTAGAGCAACAAAAGCCAATGGATACTTTGGTGGACTACATTCTACGATGAAGAAATTTAAGCATGAAATGTGATCCATAACTCCAAGAGCAACATGCAATGGAGATTCTACAGAAGAGTATTCACGGACCGGTAGCTTTTCTACTCAAGGGAGTTACGATCAAAACCTTTGGAAAGTTACTTAATGTTGTTCAAATTTCTATTGTTTATATAGATTATAATCATGGTAAAAAATACATAATCCTCTGATTCACCCTTATGATTCGTTCATGTATAGAAGTGCTTGTCAGGACACCGCCATTCATGTCACCTTATTCATTAGTGGTTAATTCGACCAAATAGGAAAATTGAGAGTTTAGAAAAAGTGTGATAAAATAAATGATGTAAGCACAATATGGTCTCCTATCATCTTTAACTCTTTTCTCTCTGGTGTATCGAAAATAATTATTCAATTGCTCAAGGCATACAAAATTGGATATGATTGGCTAACTCAGGTGATTGTAGCCTCGTATCACCTATTTCAACATCCAGTTGGGAAACTTACGGCTAACTTGATAATGTTGCAAATGACGTGACCATAAGAAAATTCAATATCATGAGACATTAGTCTTAGGATCCGACTCAAAAACTTGGGCACAAACCCCCTTGACACCATTGCTAGGATAAATTGAAGTGTTGATGCAGAAGATTGCAACACACAATTGCGTGATGCTATGAGATATTTTACTCGCACATTGGTAATCTCAAAATGATACTAAACATAAAGACTCCCAAGATTATATAAATGCTTAAAATGTTTAACAACACATTGATTTAAAAGTCTAGATTCATCTCTAAAATGACCAAAAGCTCTCCAATAGAATTTTTGATCTTTAGCATAACTCCAATGAAACCCTTCAACAGAAATCATAACAATATTTCCGTAATTAAGATTCAAAACAGGCTTTCCTTACATAATTCTTAGAAGATGGGTAAAAGAATAGCATCATACTGTTCACCCATCATGCCAAATATTGTTTATATCGTATGATTTGTTGGATTGTTTACCATATTCTTTATAAAATAAAAACATTTACTATAAGATAAAATATTTGGATTGTTTACCAAATATTTTAGAGCTAGACCATGTGGTATTTTTTCTCATAAAGCAAGGGATTCATCAATTTACTTGACTTGGCTCTAACCCCATGAAAGGTTGAACATGATGCACATGCGGCTAAGCCTAGCCACGTGTCAGTCCTTTCTAGTTTCATACTATCATATAAGCATAGTTGCACCACTAATGGTTGCATACATCCTAATAGAGCAGAAAACTACAGAAATTGCAAACATGCTTTCTTGTTTTTTAAAAATTCTGAAATTACCCTGGGACTTTCAAAAATTATTGGGAAAAATGCATGAATTTTTTAATTTCAAGAGAGGATTTTATAAACTCTAAAAATTTATGGATTGTCATTAATTCTTGTTGATATCAATTATTCTGTAATTCTGGTTATATTAATGATATTGTCATTTAAATTCTATTCTTCTTCTATTCATTATTCTGCTCGTTTGTTATCTTTTAATAGTCTTTTATCTCAAGAAAAAATTCCGTTCTTCGGATTTATTTTTAATGATGTTTCCATAACTTTCTTTACAGCTCTAGTTAAGTTTACGAACATGTGATTAATGTATTTTTCCTTAAAGAATGAATGATGAATAAAGACTGTAGTATGAGGTTGCTGAGAATTTCTACTTATTTTTCAGGGGATTTGTTATCACAATGATGCCACATCTCAAAAGGTACATTTCATTCTATTACTTTTTCTTAGATTACTTTGGTCCTTTCTTCGCCTAGTTTACATTGTTATTCGAATGCAACTAAGGGTTTTATCTTAAACAACATAGCTTATCACTGAATATTTAGGTTGGTTTTCCTTTTGATAGATCCACCTAACTGGTATAGTGACATTCATACATGCCAAAATTTAAAGGCTGTTTCAACAATATTTCTGCAAATTACTGTCTAAGTGACTAAGTTTCCTGTGTTTAATAAAATCACAATTAAAAGGAGGCAACTGTTGTTGTTGGCAAGCTTTTCTAGACATTATGACTCAAAGCACTAACTTTTTGCAGCTCAGGCTGAAAATAAGAAGGCGGGAAATTTTCCGCCTAATGAAAAGAGGGGAGCAAGGGCTGGTTCAGACGTTTCTCTCAACTGAACCGGTTCAGCTTTTGGAGGAAAACCCCCGTGTTAGTTGTGAACCTGTATCTGATAAATTAATTTTCATGTTATCTTTAGGTTTCTAAATCAAACACATAATTTGGAATTAGAGGTAATTACATTACTGCTACGAAGCTTCTAGCATTTTCAAAACAATGCTTTTTTTCTACAACATAAATAAAATTTTAGTGTGTAGGTGTTTTAGATGAGAATAAATTTTGGAGCTCTGTAGATGGATCTTTTTTGTTCTTTCCTTCTTATTATCTTTTTTTTTTCCATTTTTCAAGAAAGATTTACATAAATATCACATAATTCCTATGTATTTGCGTATCTAAACAAAAATTTCAAAATTACATTTATGGCACTTTATTTATGCATAAAACGGTTTATTTCACATTTTTCTTTAAGTTAGTAATATTGATATTTTTGATGTGAGGTGCAAGCTTTGTGTGTTACAAGTGTAAAAATTAAATTAAAGTGTTTGATATGTAAAAAGTATTAGAAATCTACGGTATGCATGTAAATGCCCATTTTTTTAAATTATCCTTTTTTATCGTTGTTTCCCTTATAAGGGTCTGTTTGGCGCAACTGTACCTTCTCAGCTTTTCAGCTGCAGCTGCGCTGCCCCAGGAAGCTGCTGCGGGGGAGGTGTTGTGGGAAGCTGACTGACTGTTTGGTGCAGCTGTGTGAAAACAGCTTTGGGACAACTGTTTCTGAAAAAATGACCATGTTGCCCATGTTTGGTAAAACTGTTTAAAAGAGAACTGTGACAACAACATATTTAATACTTCTGAAGCAGAATTTCACTCTGAAATACTTCAAAAATTCAGATGTCCAACTAACTTAATAGTGGATACCGAAAGTGGTAAAGGAAAATGAGAAAACCACAATTCATAAAATCATAGCCAAAATTATATACTCCTCTTATGGTTAATCATAAGAAAATAAAAGCATGCAACCTTTCAAGGGCTTGTATAAGGACCACAAATGTAAATTCTAGCACACCGTGCCCCAAAATGAAAAAAAATGATGAAACAGGGCATATAAACAATACAAGGATCTGCATAGAACCATTGAGAAAATGTTAAAATCATTGGAAAAGCACGCCAAAGGCATAAAAATTTGTCCTCATATTTTTTAGAACAAGACTAAAAAATATGTCAAGGAAGAAGGAATTACATCCTAACTAATATATATATATATACACACACATACATACATGGTAATATTGATTAAAGTCACAATCTATGATTTTATAAAAAACAACTCTTATGTATTTACAAATCTAACACCTAAACTTTCATATTGTCTCAGAATAAAAAATAAGGTACAGATTGATTGCAGAAGGAAGAAGGAAAGACCCAATTATGAAAAAGCTCAAATTATAATCGGCCTCCATGCTCATAAACAAAAAAAAGAAGCAAGTTTGTCGATTCAATACCCTTCCAGCCACGAACTCATGCTGCAACTCTCCAAAATGACAGGAGGGTCTGTCGTTCAGCAACAAGGACTTCGTACACACGGAGGATGAGAGAGCGGAGGAGAGATTCGAGTGAAAGATGGCCTTCTGAAAAGCAAGAATTTAACGTAGGAGGAGGATGAGGGAGCGAGGGACGATTTCGAGCGAGGAAGGAGGAATTTCGTGCAAAACAAGGATGAGGGAGCGGGGAAGAAGAGCTTCGAGCGGGGAAGAAGATCGGGAATTTTAGGGGACTTGGCTGAGGGCTTTGCGAGCGGTGAGTGATGGAGTTAGGGCGAAATCGGGATCGCATGCGAACATGGACCGCAACCGAACAACGAAGGTCGATCCCGCGGCCCGCTTTTAAGGAAATTCGCGGGTCACCGCTGCGTAACCGCCGCCCCAAACACTGTAAACGTGCGGCCCCCCGCCGCGCCGTTGCTCTACCGCCGCCCCAAACGGGGCCCAAGTATTTGCTCCTAAAAATCTGCCCTCAATACCATTATCCTCATATCCCAATAATTTGGGATTGGCTTTATGAATCATCAATATTCATTCATTTTTATTGAGTGCTGCATCAGAAGTTAAACCTAATTTGCTCAAATCGTTTTGCAGATCTTGTATCCAAATTCCTAATAACAATGTCAGAAGTACTGCTTTTCTTTATTTGTGGAAATTCTACAGTGTCTACTATGCTCTATCCTAATTTGTATGGAGTGCTCTTATACTTCTTGTTTTAGAAATTGTAATTGATTTGTTATCTATTTTGGCTGTGTTACACTCATCAAGTATGAAAGAAGACTAATGGAAGAGCACCTTTTTTGAAGGTAAAGAAGAAACAAACTTGTTAACCTTGCCAAGAGCCTAAGGCTTCTACATAACTTCTTATAGTTTGAATCTTATCTGTTTTAGCAATGACACAAAATAGATTTGTGATGTAGAATGGGCATTTTCCAGTGTATTTTTTTGGCTTCCTGTTAAATTTCTATTGAATTGTTCATTTATTTATCTGGAGGGCTTAGTAAGGTGAAGGATGAAGGACTTCTAAATTTAAAATTGTTTGAACTTGTTTAAAAAGATCTAAACTAGAATAACACCAAATGCAATATAAATAGAAATGAATTCTGACAATGGATTCATATAGAAAATTTAAGTGCATTTAGTAGGAATTAAGGCTGTTAACGACGAGAAGTAGTAGTGTTTGTTCTATTTAGTGAAATGATTTTTTAGTCGGTTCAGCTTTTTGGTATTTTAATTTGGTTAGTATTTTATTTCTAGATTAACATGGAAATGGAACCTGACTTCTTTTTCTCAGATTTGTCCAATCATATAGCGTACTCTTAACCCCTTTATGTTAGGGTTGCTAATTTTCAGAGATTATTTGTAAATATCAACTAGAAGGATACGTTGCAGGCTACCTTTTTTAAAGAAATTGCTGCAACATATGCTGTGGATTCTATCCCAATATGTGGAACAGATGAAGATTCATTGAACAAAATTTTACAAGCCTGGAATGGTACCGGTTTGAGCTCTTTGTTCATAACTTCCAGAAAGATTGAGTTATTATTTTCAGAACTAAAAAACATGGGTTGGAGAATTGTTTTTGTAGGTAAGCATGATTTTTGTTCTTTCATCAAACTAGGTTGTTTAAGTGTATTGAAATAAACCATGTTATTTCATGACTTAGCTATTTCTTTTTTTTGAGCTAATATTTGTATTTTAAACTTGATTTTGTCCCAGTTTCATTGTATTTAACTGAAGGTGTAAAGTGCCAAAATAATCTGCTCACTATTTACATGGGATCATTTTAGTCTAACATCCTACAACAGTGTCAATTTAGTCCTTAGATTCTTTTAATAGGAGTTGAAATGTCCCCAGACAGGAGCCCCCCATTAAAAGAGTCCGGGGACTAAATTAACACTTTTATAAACTCTGGGATTAAAATGAACCTCTACAAAAAGTCAGGAAGCCATTTTAATACTTTTCTCGTAATTGAAACATATTTCTTTGTCATGTAGGTGTTGAGAGCAACATTGCTACAGGTGGTGGATTTTTCAACATTAGCAAGCTTGAAGCAGTGCCGATAACTATATGCAGCCTGAATAAAATGGTCTTTATTATTGCTAAATCAGTCTATTTGCTCCATTATCTGTGATCTGTTCACACCGTCTGCTGCTTCCATAATGTAATTTTTGAGATTTGTATTACATCAGGCAATGCATGAAAAGTTGGCTTTGGTGATTGGCTATGTTATGAAGCCATCTCGTGAAGAAGATTTTTCCAAGGTAGGCATTCGTGCGACATAAATGCAGACAATGGATTTGGGAGTGACTAAAGTGCCAAAACAGTCCTTTGGTTGTTTATATGGGGTCATTTTATTACCAGAGTTTATAAAAATGTCAAATTAGTTCCCAACTGTAAATTAGGGCTGAAATAATCTTCCTCTGTGTGGACTATTTCATTATATTAAAAAAAAAACAGTGGACTAAATTGGTACTTTTATAGGCTCTGGGATTAAATTGACTCCCTGCAAAGAGTCAGTGGACCTATTTTGACATTTTCTCAATTGTGAGTTATGGAATAGTGTTTTATTCCTGATCTTTTGCTGACAGAGAGGCGCATTCCCAATGTATCCTACTCATAATGGGTTGTTGTTTGCTTCTCTATCATTTGAGCTGCCTTTAGCTCCCCAACTAAGAGAAGTTGATGTGGTCCTCCATAAAGCAACGGATGAAATCATGAGCATCGACACGTCTTTAGATTTTTCCAGTGGCATTCTATTTTCTGAAGGGATGAATGAGCTTAAAAGGTCACTTCTTTAGTTTTAAATGCTGTATGATATTCTATAGTCGGAATGAATTCTTTCAGTGCTAACAATTTTTTACTTTTAGATTATTAGATATGTAGTCAATAAGGATATAGCTTTGTCAAGTTTACTCAGAAATCTTTGATTTATAGCATACATGAATGATTTTTCACATTGTTAATCCTTTTTTTCCTGTTATTATAGTTTTCTGGGAATAATATTTTGATAGTAGGCTATATACTATTTAACTTATAGGATAGTTGTTTTGGTTTTGGTTTTCTTGTTTGTTGTTTCTAAAGTATATTTCATACATTTGTACAATTTTTTTTTGCGAGTGGTTCTGTTTCTTTTTCCATTTGAAGTGTTTTTTTTTTTCCTTTTTCATGTAATTTTTAGGGGTGGTCATACTTCTTTGCTGTGCTATTTGCAAGATTTAACTTTGTTATTCTGTTGTCTAGTATATTTAATGAGTAGAGTGTCAAAATTATCCCTTTACCATTTACATGGGGCGATTTTCGCCATTTTAGTCCCTGAGTCTATTAAAGTGTCAATTTTGTGCCCACACTTCTTTAATATGGGCTGAAATGATATTCAGGGAGGACTTCTTTAGATTTCATTAAAATAGTCTGTGGGCTAAATTAAAACTTTTTTAGACTTTGACCATTTTGGCACTTGTCTCTATTTTTAATATGTATATTGTTGACTCTGTTTTCTAATCAGAGCAAACATTTTAATTTCTTGGAACTTTGATATACTATGTACAACTGCTTTGGAGTCTGCTTTATGTTCAAGTTTTGTTATATTGATTTAATAAACTTCCAAAGATAGCTTAATCAATTCCCTACTTATGATGAGCAGGAAGCCTGATTGTTGTGTAATTGATCCGCTAAACAATATTTACCCCCTATTGGATCGACACAAAATCCAGGAAATTTTATGCAAATTGGATGGATTCAACGTCAAAGGTCACTGTAAACTCCGGGCACCTCATTTTCTAAAGGTCTTTTGTTGGAATGGTATTCATTTGAAATTTTAATCTGACTTCATTCATTAATAGGGCTGTTCTAGGAAAGATAGAGTTATATTCAAGGTATCCTGTTACGTTATAAGTTTGTTCTGGTTGGTTCTTTTTTAAATATCAGTTACCTGGGTTGTCCGCTTTTATCGCTGTTTTGTTCGCATATATTGCTGTTTGTATTAATTAGTGCCTTGCTCTACACTAGCTATTATAAAATCTAAAATATCATGTGTTAGCTTATTTATATCAAGAATCTTTTTCATTATCAGTGTAATAAAAATTCATTATTAAGGATATTCTTCTTTATTTATGGATTTTTTATTATCTTTTTTTTTGCTGATATGTAGACAAAAATTTGCTTGAACTAAACATAACAATTCAATAAAAATGTGTTTCTTTTGCAACCATCTCTCCATGTCCTAGTTTGCCGTCTTACATACATGCAAACCGCACAGGCCTATCCACATCATTCGCCTTCACATCATAGAATGAGGCAATCATTTGGATCTGTTAATAAATTTCTGCTTAGATATTTGTAGGTGAATCTTAATGTATTTTATAAACATGTCATTGATATTTAAGCAGAGTGTGACATAAATGAGCATAATAAGTTTTATGTATGAAAAAATTAGAAAGGATAAATTAAAGGATGATTATTAAAAGTAAAAGTTCTATCTATTGAAAATAAGTTATTGAAAATAGAATTTGATGGTTTGAATGTGTATGATGAAGGGTAGGAAATGAACCTGTTAAACAAGCTGATCATGTTAATGTCAGAGGATTAGAAAAGAAAATCAATATATCTAATGTTACATAGAAAGAAGTAGTTTGAAATGATTTTGCGAATAATCTGTTTGCCACCTTAGACAACACTCATGCGATCTAATGGAAGATGAGGTTCATAACATGGATCTTAGGTCATTGAGACTAGGCTAATGATGATGATGATGATGATAATTGAAATTGCTTAATGACAACCATGAATTAACCATTGTAAATCGTGAAAACATCCCTTACAAAAGAGGATTTATCTCATGCTGTTCACACTAGGTAGCAGCCATGGCCGACATCCTTCCTCTCCACAAGGGTATGCTATTGTTAAAGGTGGCAATTCTCTACTGTCTTTGTTGCCTCCTGTTGTCATTAGGATACTTCAGGATCATAGAGATTGTCCTGTTGATCTCCCTTTCATTGGGTGAGATGTAAGGGGAGCCCCACATTCTTTCTCTGTGGTCATAGCTGCTATGCTCTCAATCATGGCAGAAAGAATGTTTGTGTTGCACCAACATCTCTGTGGTGGCTCATTCCTGATCTTAGGGTATTTTAATCCAAGTTTTAATCATTGGATATCATTTGTCAGTAGAGAATTCACCCATGCTAAGGAAAAAGATGATACTTGCCTGGCAATATTTTGAAGGCTTGTTATAATTTCCTATTTTTAACTGATGATTTCTTCATTTTCTCTTTCACGCGACTTTCATGTTAGGGTAATTTTTGTAAAGAGACACTATTAAAGAGCAACTCCGGCTATGGATGTGTGGGAGTCCTACTTTTTTGACACCTCAATGGCAACATATCATCCTCTAAAAACCTCCACCATGAGGATCGGTGGAAATTATGTTGGCTCTTTTTGTTACATTTTTTCCATGGTCCTAAAGTGATGGTGTAATTCCAACTTCATCTTTTGCCTATGAGGTAAAGTTGATGGCATAATCTAACCGTGGCCCAAGATAATAATCGATAAAAACATCCCATTAGACTATGATTTATAAGGGTTTGACCCAACCAAGGCTACGAGTTTTTAGAGCAGTTGTTTTAATAGGAAGTATGATCCCAACCACAACTTTGAAAGGATTCATTATGAATTTGACACAAATATAACCAAAGTTGGTGTGGCTCAAATCATAACCTAAAAGAGATTCTTCGAAGTCCTTATAAAGTATTTGTGGCCAATTTTGATACGACCCACACCTCCAAAGTACTTGGAGCATTGGTATCCAAAGAGATTGCATCCCTAACTACTTCATTGTTAGGTTTTCTCAAGTTCTCATAAAGTCTTTATTGTATGTTCTCCACCATCCTTGAATTTTGGAGCACTTCGTTGCGTCATGAAGGCCTGGTTTGGGCATTAAACAAGGTTGCCACTTAAATAATAGGGTCTAAATTTTCCAATTGGAGATTTTATGGATTCATAATCTCATGCACCACTTTTTCTATTAACAACCTTGTGCTTCAAATTTACAACTAGTATCATTTTGCAGGTGGATAATTATGATTATAGTAGCATAAAGGATCAGCTCCCTGAAGCTAAACTATCATTCCCGTTGATTGTGAAACCTCGAGCTGCATGTGGGGTAGCTGATGCTCACAATATGGTAATAACTTCAAAGATACTTATGTTTCTTGGCATTTATATCTGAACTGCAATCGTTAGTTTGGGCCACTGTGGTCATTTCAATGTTTCAACAACTTTTCTGATATTTATATTCCGAATTCTACATATTTAATTTTAATTTTGTAAGCTGCAGTTTGTTTCGGACTACCCATTTGACCTTGAAAGTGCGAGTGGTACGAGGCTTTATTCTTTAAAATGTTTACATACCACACAATTCTCATATATTTACTTATCCAACATCTACTTTTTTCATATTTACATACATAACACTAAAATCATCAATATTACATCAAGACTAACACTATTGCGAACTTTTTAAAAGTGAAATACACCTTTGCATGCATAGGTTTATGGAACCAGTGATAAAATGTAAATAACAAACTTTATAAATCATAGAAATCATGAGGTACGCATGTAAATTTCCCTTGTTTTTTTTCCGTACATGCACTTACAAAACAAAGTTTGATTTAAATTTACTCTCTATCTCCACATAATAGGCTATACAAGAGCATAAGGATAAGAAACCCTTGTAGTACCTGTAAGACTTTTCATAAGATTAATCTTAGCATTCTATGCCAACCTTTTTGTTTTTATTTCATGCATTTACATTAAAGTTATCTAAATAATAAATGCATTTAGATTTCTATTTTATTGAAAAAACTTTTAGAGTAAAAATATGACGACTTATATGAAAGTTAGAAATATTTTTAATGAGTTAGCATTTGTTGTATACGGTTTTCCCTAATATGTGTCATTTGTTTAAAATTAAGTGATGTGATCAGGCCTCATACTGTATTTATTGCTTGAAAACGACAATTATTTATCTTATTTGAATGTGTGTAAATGTATTATGCCTTGATGATTTTAAAGCTTTGATGATTCGGTGTAATAATACTGCGAGTCAGAATTGTATATAGCATATATATGTATCATATGCAAGATTATTATGCCTTTATGGATTTATTGTTTGAGTTGTTAACCGAATCAAATAAATTTTTCCGAACTCGGCATATTTGTATTAAAATTATAAGTTTTTACATGGTAATAACTTAATTAATTACCATGAGTTTTAACTGAACAGTAGCTATAATAGCATATACCTGTTGCAATAAAAACATTTTAACATGCTAATAATCTTTCCACTGTCACAAAGTCATCTTCTACTCTTTAGTTTGTAATTCTTGTGTAATGCTGCATGTATTACTTGAAATGAAGGCCATTTATTTGCTATATGATTAGATAACATTGTTGTATAGTTTTTTTTTTAAGGTTTATGTACATTCCATTCAATTCTTATGTATTTACATACCAAATACCCAAACTTCAATTTTTACATATATGTGACCTTACCTATGCATGGGAAAGTTATGTTTTACTTTCAAAAAGAAAGAACAATGATATTTTTGATGCTATATGAAAGATTTGGATGGTATAAATGTAAAAAAGTAAAGTTTTGGTATTAGATGTGTAAATACGTTAAGAATTGGGTGGTATCTAATATAAATTCCCCTTTGTTTACTTCATTTTGAATTCATGATCTAGTTCTGAGATAGGTTTTTGTTTTTTTTGTATAGGATATGCTTTTAATCTCTAACAATTTTTTTCTGTAACTAAACAGATGTAAATTATGACCCGTCTATTTGGAAGTTTATGGGTGTTGTTTATGTTCCTCTTGCACATTTTGTACAATCATAGTTATTATGCTTCTTCGCAGGCTATAGTATTTAAAATTGAAGATTTTGAGAACCTTTCTGTTCCACTTCCAGCTATTATTCAGGTAAGAAGTTGCTTAGGAGTCCATTTATATTGCTGGATGAATTTGTAATTTTTTGTGAAATGCGCCATTAGTTTTCATATTCCTGCAAATGTGCTTGACATAAAGTATTATTTGTTAATGAAATTTCATTATATGGTTTACATTTATATCAACTTATGTTAAGTGCATTCTGGATGGAAAAGCATGAATGAGCACTTCATTATTTGGTTGCTTTCTAAACATACAACTTGCACTAAGTGATCGGTGGATCATAGGATAGAAAAAATCATTTAGATTCATTCTTTCCTTGGAATAAATCAAAACATTGATCCATATTTTAGACTATCTCTAATGTACACCATGGAAAAATTGGACTAAAACAGAGCTAAATGAGTAATAAATTAGTCGTCATTAGAAAAGATGCCTGAGGAATGGAGAAAGAGTATTTGGGTCTACATTTTTAAGAATAAAAGGGATGCATAAGAGTGCAAATTATAGAGCAATTAAGTTGATGTGTCATACTTTAAAATTAGGGGGGAGGGTAACTGAACATAGGTTAAGACGTGGTACAAAGATTTCTCATAATCTGTTTGAATTTATGTCGGACAGGTCTCCTATGGGCTATACATTTATTGAGAGGTACAGAGAGAGCAAGGAGGATCTACATATGATCTTTATTAATTTAGAAAAAAGTTTACGATAAGATTTCAAGAGAAATCCTTTGGAGAATTCTAGAGAAGAAAGGTGTTGATATGACTTATATTCAAGTCATTAAAGATATGTATACTAGAGCTGTTACTTGTGTTTGAACAGATGGATGATTGACCAAGTAGTTTCCTATTTCAATAGGATTACATCAAGGATCGGCTTTAAGCCCATATTCTTTTGCTTTTTTAGTTATGGACGCTCTTACTGAACATTTACAGGAGGATGTACCTTGGTGTATGCTTTTCAAGAATGTTATCCTTCTTGTGGATAAGACTAGAGAAAGAGTTAAGGAAAAAAATGAATTATGGAAGTCTACATTGAAGTCTAAAAGTCTTCATTTGAGTAGATCTAAAACTGAATAAAACTGAATATATGGATATATGGAATGTAATTTTAATAATAGTAGCTCTAGTAGCAGAGTTATAACTATGAGTGATCAAATCATTAAAATATGTGAATGTTTTAGATATCTTGGGTTTATTGTTCAAAGCGATGGTGATATAGATGTGATGTTATTAATAGAATTTTGGTTGTTTGGTTGGTTAAAGTGGAGGAATGCATCATACCTATTGTGTGATGGAAAAGTACCGCTTAGACTTGCATGAAATTTTATAAGATGTTAGTGAGACCTGTAATGCTCTATGGCGCAGAATGCTGGGCTTTAAAAGAGAAGCATAAAACAAATTTAAATGTTGTTGAGATGAGAATGCTTAGGTGGATGAATGGCTTGACACATAGAGTAAAATGTGAAATGAATATATTCGTGATAAGGTTGGTGTAGCTTCAGTGGTATACAAAATTAGAAAGAGTCATCTTAGATGGTTTGTTCACTGTTGACATCATTTTTGGCGAAGTCTAGTTTTCTTCTTAGTGTTTAGTGCTTTGCCTTGGGATTTTTTCATTGACTATCTTAGAGCCTTATTAGTTGGACTCACCTCATTTTAGAAGTTCAAATCACTTCTTTACTCTTTTTGAATTTTTGCATGTGTGGTTCTTGACCTCTAGCACTTAGGAGATTGAAACTAACACGAGGAAACTCAAAAAGAGTCCCCATAGGACCATTAAGCCCTAGGATGACCTTATTCACAATTTGCACATTCGCGCGCACAAATTTTGCAATTCGAACAGTCGACACTTTTAATTATTACAATATACATCGCTTACGCCTTTATTTGTTTCATAATTAATCGAAACTAAAATTAATTTTCAAAATGATCAATCGCGAGCTCGAAATTTTAAGGAAACTGAATTTGATGCATTTTTGACCTAATCGCCAACGAATTTATCCAGAAGGCCCCAGTTGACAACTGACTGCGCTGGTGTGTCTGAAACGTCGACTTTAGGCGGGAAGGACACCAAATCACATCTCATCTACAACTGATCAAATTGCTCTGTGAACTCCTTTACTGACACGTCTCTCTACTGTGGTTAGTGGAGCTCAAAGAACATGTCATGGCAGTAATGGGGTGGGAGGCATTTCCTCTGCATCGTTTTATTCATCTTATCCTACCTAATAATCTTATCGTCGTCTTTCCTTTTTCTATGTGTCTATAAGTTCTTCCACAACAAAGAGACACTTTTCTTCAACTTGATAGTGGCTAATTTGATCCCTTATCCTCTGACACATCCTTATACTCGAAGACCCGTTCAACAAATTACAACTAATCAATAAAATCATCTGGATCCATACCTCTATCAAAATCTAACAGATCCACTTTGATGTCGAAGTCAAATGATATCTCCTCTCTGAAATTCTCCCTATGGAAGGGATTCAGATACCTCTCTATAGAACTCCTCTGATACTGGATTCTGAAACGTAATTTTCATCGCTCAAATTCTTTATATGGAAGGGATTCAGATCCTTCTCCCTTTTTCCCCTTTGACTCTTCAGATCTCGGTCGAGAATAACCTCTTCTTGGGTCATTTCATCAATCCTCGTAAGCCTTTATTGAAGGCGATAGAGCTCTCGCCGTATCTCTTCTTGGGTGGGGTCAGACAAAAATCTTCTTGCTGGCATGACTAGGGTTTGATATTTGTGAAAGTGGAAATGGTATTTGGTGGTAATAAAGAAATTTTTTGGTTTATTGCAGATGCTAGGAAATCTTAGGATGGGAATAGGATTAGACTAGCTCCGACAACAAATAATACCGAAGTTAACTCAAACCACAAAAGAAATAATAATAATGTTGTTGAAATACAAACATGCTACAACGACGACTCTTCAAAGCAAAAAATAAATGATAGCAACCATAATAAGAACCCTTAGGGCAATGGCAAAAGGGGGTGAACCCCGAGTGGACAACATGCAGGATGGTTGGCTGGGTGCTTGCGGCAGCAACTGGGACTGATATGTTGAGGTGGCAGCAGGGGAAGGGTTGGGATGGAATACTTTAACATTTATGGTGCAGGTAGGGTTAGGAGGACTACAAGAGTTATGGGAAAGGAATGGGTTATGACAAAAACAGTGGGGGTGGTAGGGTCGCGGTATGAGTAGGGAAGCTATAGGAGTGGGTTACGATAGATCTGGGTTGTGACGGAGGGAGTTTAGAAGATAGGGAAGGGGGTTGGATTGAGTTATGACTAATCTGGGATGGGTTGGAGGAAGTTGCGGCAGATAAGATGATTGATGGAGAGTGACAGTATAGAGGATGGCTAATGGTGGATGGAAAGGCAGATAATGGTAGGTTGGTTGCAATACAGGAAGGGGAAGAAGTGTGGATAACGAGCGGCTGATAAATTGGGAAAGCGGCTGGAGTTGAAAGGACAGAAGCCCCCCAACTGCTGTACGACGGAGGGAAAGGCAACTACAGTTGACGGGAATGTGAGGGGCTGGACGACAAAGGAGGGAAGGGCAACAAAAGATGGGCAGGATGGAGGGGGGCTTGGGGAAGATAATCACCACATCGAGAGAGGGATACAGTCGGAGCACCAGCCAATCCGTCTGATATAAACCTCTAAGGGGAACAATGGACGCCGACAGCTGTCCTGACAAAAATTTGAAAAAATAAAAAAAACTAACCCCAAAACAGAGAAACAACATATAAATAGAAGATGAATATGTGGGAAACGAAAACATGAAGGAGGAATAATTCCTGCTCAATGAAAAGAGGGAGAGGGGGCTTGTCCAGTCTTTTGTTGGACCGATCCTCTTCTTGCTTAAGTGGTTGGGTCTGGTTTAGGCCCCAAGCGGCGCATTAGGTGTATATTGAAGAATTCTTTTACAAGTAAATTATAAGAGGAAATAACCCATTATTTTATATATTTTGGTTATCTGACCAAGAATTACATTATATTTGTCCAATTGTCTTGTTATGATGGTCGCATGTTCCAAAATTTTCATGATAGTACTCTCATTGACACTATTCTAGGGTTCTTAGAAGGTATTTAAGGATCATATTTAGCAGTGAGGTGATTGTGGAATAGCAAGGGGGATAAAATATGCTAGGTTGACATAATTTGGAAGGGGATAGAAGAAGTTTGGCGACTATGACATTTTTGTTGGGTTTCTAGAAGGTGTTTAAGAATCGTATTTAGCAGGTAGGTGGTTGTGAAATAGCAACAGAGAGAGTATGTGACACAAGGCTCAATGATGGCTGGACCGGTTGGATCACTTGAACCGATTGAGTCCAGGGTTACTAGGGCCGGTCGGTCCACTATTTTGGGGGCTAGGGTTGTCGTCCAATTGGAGGGCCTTCCCTTTCCTAGTTATCTATTATATACTTGTTATTTTTTGTTCTAGGATTAACTTTTGGTGAGAATTATGTTTGGACAGTGTCGGCATCTCCTTTTACCATTTTAAGGTTGTATCAAAAAATGAGTGTTGCTTTGGCTATATCTCGCTCTGAGGTTTTGACCATCTACGACTTCCGCCTATCTCGCCACATCTCTGCCTCCATCGTTGTTTGCTGCAAGTCCAACCCCAACCCCCTGCTCTATGTTGTTTGGTCCTTCCCACTTAACTCCAGCAGCCCTAAAACCCCCTCCCTTCCTGTTCTGCTGCCGACAGCCCTCCAACGCCGCTGTTACTGACAGTCATCCAATGCCACTTTTCCCCTGCGGCCAGTCCTTCCAGCCTACCTCCAACAGCCGCAAACCCTTTCCCCACCTCTCCTGCTGTTGCCGCCACCTCTCAACTAACCGACCTCCCTTCCACATAACTGCAGCCCACCATATTCGTCCTCACCCTAGAGTGTCATTTTTGTTTGAGTTGTTATTTTTTCTATTGTCAAGAGTCTTTACCTTTAATCCAATTGAATTTCAGCTATAATATCTCTATTTCTATTGTGGTTAGGGTTAACTCCGGTATCAGCAAGTGAGGTCAACGAAGTGTGGAGTGGATATTAGAAGTATGGTGATTGTCCATGCTGAAAACAGTTGAGAGAATCACAAAACAACTACTTCTATGAGGCACAACTGTTGAGAGAGATCCACCATCTATCTTTGGACAAGCTACAAACACACCATTTGCAAAAAGAAGGTGATACAACGTTCTTTAAGCCAGGAAAAATCTATTAACGCAAACCAAAACAAAGTCTTCAAATCAAATTTTAAGCAAAACTTAAGCTAAGAAATAAATAAAACCCTAATTATAATTAAAAAAAGCATAAAAAGGGGCACACAAGGTCCAGTCCCCCCTATGGGCAAGAATAATCGCATAACGAGAAAACTGAGACGGGAATTACCACATGAGTGGGAAAAATCCCAATCCCGCTTCCGCATCTCACTCATGGCTTTTATAATGAGAATATTTACTAACAGGCGTATGAAAGCCAAAGCATGGGTATAGTGCACATGGTGATGTGTGATAATGCACAATATACCCACTTTTTCTTGTTGGTTTGCCAATTTCTCTTTTGTGCATATGATGTCCATAAATATCCCTAAATCTTTTGGCTTACTCTTTAGACAAATAGACTTGTTGGATTTTGTTGAACAATAGTGTTGATGATATGTTCTATTTATGATTTTTGCGTAGGAGTACATCGACCACGGATCATCGCTCTTCAAGTTCTATGTCTTGGGTGAGAGAATTTTTCACTCTGTCAAGAAATCAATGCCGAATGGCCTTCATCTTTTATCCATGACAACAAAATCAGGCTCTTCCCCTATCATCTTCAACAGGTAGCTACTCTACATTATTTCCATTAACTTTTCATTAAAAAATATAAGGCATGCTAATGGCCTGACTCATTCTTCCAACAAATGTAGCCTGAAATCTCTCCCAGTTGATCGCGAGGATAACATTTCCGCCGATTTCGTGAAACATAGCAATCATTCCATCGACTTAGAATTAGTCGGCCATGCTGCAAAATCTCTTAGAAAGTGGCTTGGCCTTACCATCTTTGGATTTGATGTTGTTGTGAGTAATCTGTCCTCTTTTGAGTTCCAGTTTTCAGTAGTGCATTATGAAGATTTGTATATTACATGTCCAACACCTAAACTTCAGTTTTTACATTGAAAATTTAAGCATTTAACTTTTTAAAAGTAAAAAAATAGTGATTTTTTTGATGTGATACGAATGACTGGGTGGTATAATTGTAAAAAAGTAAACTTTTGGTGTTAGATATGTAAATACATAGAAATTTGGCAGTATGTATGTAATAAATGCTCCAATATATTAATCAGCACATTGATCAATCTTGACATTACATAGATTCAAGAGGGCAGTGGAGATCATGTTATTGTGGATCTGAACTATCTTCCATCTTTCAAGGAGATCCCTGATAGTGATGCCATTCCTGC